GATAGAGTTCTGCTACAGCTATCACATGTTCACCACATTCTGTACCTTAGTTCACTTCTCATTTTAAATACCTTTTCCTGTTCCCCTCTCCCAGCTGTTCTGGACAAGACGAGGCTCATTGCCGCTCGGTCCCCTCCCCTCACAGCAAGGTAAGCTACAAATCCATTTTATTCTGCAAGCTTCAGTCAAACCAGGGAATTTAGCACGTCCACTCTATAAGTACTAGTACAAGCTATCGACAACAACACAAAACAAACCAGGAACGAGCTAGCAGGGGTTTGGCTAGGGTTTTCCATTCAATCACGACATACTAGGTGCGACGCGGCCAAACACCATGTCCTCTGCAGTAACCACCTCCCTTCCTCGCAACCTAAAGGAGTTGCGTTGCCGCTGCACTTGTCCCCTTTCAAACGCGTTCTCCTCTTCCTGCCCTTCCGTCGATTCCAGCCCTCGCGAGTAGCTTCTCCTGTGCCTGTTGCCGATCATGCCATAGTTTTCATTGCTGTCGCCGCTGCTGCTGCTGCTGACGCGGGCGAATCCAGTGCTGGTTGCAAGTTTAACGCCAGAGTACCTCGCACTGTAGCTCCTCGCTGCACTCGCGTCGCTGTCACACTCGTCGCAGCCAATACCGGACGAAAACTTCGGGTGGATGCTGCGCCCGGCTGTGCACCAGCCACGGTGCATCAACGGCGAGGGCGAGCGGTCCTGGGCGGCGGCGGTGAATATCTGGGCGGCAGCACTGTCCAGCTGGAAGCTGAGATCCTCCGGAACCGCGTAAAAATTGCTGGCTACTTTTGGGCGACTGGGGCCTTGAGCTGAGCAAGGTAGGGATGGCGATGGGGATGGTGGGGAGGGCGGGCATCTCGGGGAGAGCATGGGGGATGGGAAGGTGGAATTCGTGGCAGCGGAGGAGGTGGGGGAGAGAGTGAGCGAGTGGGTGAGGGCTGGAGAGAAGTGAGATGTGGGGGTGGTGGGGCGTTTCGCGCAGCAGCAGGCGCAGGGAGTGCGGTAGAGGGATGGCATGGGGGACGGGGAGAGGGTGCGCCGGTCGAGGGAGAGGAGAGGAGGCTGCAGGCTTGGTGATTCCGGGAGCAGTGACGGGGAGCAAGTCGCAGACGATGCTGCTGAAGATGAAGCTGTGCTCGAGTAGTAGCTCTCACCCAATGAGGCATTTCTTCTCATAGTGCGAGTGCTGCTGCTGGTGCTGGTGCTGGTGTTGGTGTCGCAGCTCTTGCTAGCAGTGATGGTGCGGTTGTTGTTGGAGGGGGTGCGGGTAACCACATTGATCTCGGAGATCTTGTACGTGCTACCCAGAATGCTCGCCGTTAGTCCTTCCTCCGTTATAGTCACATCGTCCAGGGCGTGCTCTTCCGCCTCGATTTGCATTCCAGCCGCGCCATCATCCGCGTTAGTAGCGCTGTCTCGTTGTAAGGTCACTGCGGCAGACGCACTCTCGTCGTCGCCTGGATTGATTCTGTTGACATCGGGAGCTGGAAGCGCGGCGGCGGTGGTCAGAGCGTGAGGCGGCTGGAGGAAGTACACGTGGCCGGGCCTCATCACTTGCTGTGGTCGGAGGAAGCCATTGGATGACGTCAGCGACCCCACCTGGCAACCCGGGTGATTCTGAAGCACGTCGCTTGCGCGGGTGGGCCTTCTTCTGTCGTCATTCGCGGCGGCGGCCTCGTCGCCAGCCAATTTTGGGCATCGCGACTCGGCGACAGAATGGGGCGACGTGACGATTTGGACGGAGCCGTCGGGAAGCAGAAGGAGCGCCGGTTCGCCGTCCGTTTTAGGGTCGGCGGCACCACCGAATGACGGCGGCGGACGTGAAGCTGATCCCGGCTTGGAGGCGGCGGCTGACCTCGACGGCGGCGCAGCTTTGGAGGTCCGCGCGGCTCCGGCTCCAGCGACGCCCCGCTTCCCGTCGCGTTTCACGTCCCAGTTCTTCTGCGTCGGCGTCAGCGCGCGGCTGTTGCTTAGCGCCTGAGTGAGGCGCGACCAGCCGCCCGCGGAAAACTTGGGCGGCACGCGGGGAGCGCCGGATGATGGGCCATCCGGCCAATGCACCGATTCCGCGGCCAGCGCGGGCTCAAGATCCTCGAAGAGCGAGTTGGCGAAGAGTAGCGAATGGATGGGTAACCCGGCGTTAGCGCCTCCGGGACACATGGCGACGTCGTTAGTGGTCGTTGGCGAGGAAGCGGATAGGCGGTGGTTGCTGTCGCAATGTAAGGCTCGATCGGGGCGGCGGATCGCACCTCGAGATTTGAGATCTCGGTGCTGTGCGCTGCGCGTCTGTCGATTAGGATTGAAGTAAAGATTTCGACGGTCGCGGCAACTCACGAAAGTGCGCCGCGGGCTCCCAGCGGAGTACTGAGGGTACCTAAGAATCAAGTCGGATGCCAGCAGTGTCCTTTGCTTTCTGCGTCGAAGAGTCACTCTCGTGAGGAATGAGGGGGCGAAATTTCCAGATTGTTCTTTTACTTTGCTTTGCTGTACCCGAGGATTTGTACATTATTTGACCTGGGACGAACGCTGGAGCTGCGACGGATGGTGAACGGACAGGTAAGGGAGTACACGAAGTACTCGGTATTCTCGTAAACGTTCGATTTTTTGTTCATTCGGAACCTATGATGGAACTTTACAGGATAATGGTCAGGGAAACAACTTTTTGTATGAAAAATGAAACATTGAAAGGTTATACAATACTACACTATTCTGGTTTTCACTGACACATAAATGATAGCTTACCGTGGTTGAATCACGACCTGAACTTATCTATAGGCTCGGGTGCAGGCAGTCAAGAACGTCCTTGGGGGGAGGCGCTAGTGTCTAGCGATTCCAATGTGAAGGAAGCACCACAAGCCATGATAGCGGCTCGGCTGACCAGGGCTATCCCGACCAACCTGGTTAGGCGAGGCTCGATCTGGACTGCGGATAGAGTTGACTACTAACCTGATCTCGGCTACCCTAAATTTTTATAGTGGTGACGCCACCAAAAACAATCTGAACACTTAGGTTAGCTTTATAGTGACGCTTAGTACAATCCTCGTTCTATCTATCTACCATCAACGCTTTGCTGTGGTGGCTCTGCTGTGTAGCAAATTGAAGGTGTAGAGCTGATTCCGCTGGAGCATTTCACGACTTGATGCCCCAAGTCGCTCGTTCGAACACACTTGTTGACCAAGTGTTTTTGTGGATGGCTACCTTGTAGGACATCCACGCCCTTTCGAACCACACATCCAAACGCTTCGTTACACAATGACCCACGTGCTCAAACACAAATGTTGCCTTGGACCCTGCCCAGGGGTTGCGTCCTCCGCCCCCTCTCTCTCTTTCTCTGCTCGAACCCTTCTTCCGTCCGCCCGCCCTTTCCCACTCTCGCCTTTTCTTATCAGGACGTGTGGCCACACGTGTTTGAGCAAAACGAGTCCTCGAACGCACGCCACGCCACCAGCGAAGGGGAATCTCAGCTGAAGGCACAAGTGTCTGGCTGTTCATCCCGAAATAACATGTCACCCCAATCAATCCCATTCTCCTAAACATTTAATTTGTTTAGCAAAGCATATGTGGGACAATGTTTCGTTTCCGTGTACATCCATTCCAGAACAACAGCGATTCGACGCGCAACATCAAATACTAAACAGCACCTCAAAGGATTCCACTGCAGTGGTGGGAGTATACTGGAGATAACCCATTTCCGGCCACCTTTTTTCAAGACTGTACGAGGGCGCTGGCGGAGGCGGCAAGGGGAGGTTTTGGTTGGATCATGTCATGAGATGGTTTGCTGTACGAGGCAACCACAAAGGGCCACACTTTTGGATGAACGGGCACAAGCGACACCAAGAACTCTTTCGCAGCTTCCGCGGCAAGCTGGCATGTGAAAAACTTGCCTCGCTGGATTTGGGAAGCGGGTTTGATTGGCCAAATGAATTTCCGAGGGCAGCGAGTTGTTGTTGCAACCTGCATGCGAACGAGAAGACAGCATCTTTCGGCCTTCGTCCGAAATTTCTAGAAACACTAGGTGATTGGGTCAGCAAAAATGTGTGGGAGACAAAGAGGGGCCATTCCAGGTCAGCAAAGCGTGTGGAATAACCTTTACGCACGCTTTTCCACGAGATTCGACAGGTTCGCGTCGCATGACATCCATTCACTATGGCGCATTGCACTGTAGAGGAATCACTCTGTTTTCCTAAAAAAAAACACAACTCCTGTCATAATTTTGGACCAAGTCCGTGTTTCATGTTTCCGTGGTACATTTTAACCACGACTAGTCCGCTTCTGTCACACCTCCGAATCTCCTAACTATCCAGCATTTGTTAAATACTCGAGTCTCGCTCCGTCGTGTTTGCAATGGAACACGCACATGGATGCCTCTGAAACAACAGGCTACTCAGCTGTACTGCGCACCAAATACCATTTCACGAAGCAGCTGCTTCCATTTATTATTCCAGCCGAAAGGGAACAAATCCACCGACTCCAGTGACTGATCTCCACGCACCATCCACAACTTTCATGACTTTATCCTCGATATACGCTCTGAGGAGATCACAAAACTCGAACCATGAACTGTATCTATTTATGGACTTGTGACTCTGTATCAACTCTCAGAGCTCTTCTACATCTATGCATAGGTGAAGCCCTTGTACATTCCATATTTTACGCTTATTTGATGCAGTATTGACGAATAATCAGGTTTCAACTGAAAGGCCAGCAACTGATGCTAAGGACTAACCCTCACTTTGCATGCATCAGACAATCATCAATCTCTGTGATCACTGCTGTCCATAGTTCAATGTCTTCTTTTGAGAATGTTACGTTCTGGATTCAGGAACTTCTTGGTCTACTAATATCCAGCAACCACATTCTATCAGGTTTGCCTGATATGAGGCGTAGGAACATGCCCTTAGCCTGCAAGATGCAAGCATGCAACTAATTATGGTACCTAAGAATGGCATGTACCATGCATCCTGTACACCCCAATAAGCTCCACTTCTATCCAATCAATTTGCACCAAACGCCACTGTCTTCTTGGCCTGCGTCAAAGAGCCCATCCGCTGCAAGCCACTCTCCCCTCCCCTCCCTCCCACGCCTCTCCCCAGACTCCCGCCCACATCATTCCCGCCACCACTATCCCCTGGCACACAGGAACTCGTTCGTCTCAGGCAGGATTTGATCCCCTGACCACCACCTCCCAAGCTGCTTCCGCTTCTTGCACTATCTACACCACCAAATTCTCCACTATTTCCATTACCATTATGCTGAAACTCACTAATTTGAGCCGCCGATGCGCCTGGTAGCATCCCAGAGGAGCCTCTGACCAATCGCAGAGATGGCTTATCCGCAGAGGAAATATTCACATTAGAGTCACGTCCCCCAAAGTCACCTTGCACTGAGCTGGACCGCTGGTGCGATGCCCGCCCCAAGCCCACCCTCCCAGGCAAGGGGGGCACAGGCGTTGCGGAGGGAGCAGTGTGCCCCTGGCCATAGCTGTTACCGCCCCGTTCCTGGTTACCACTCCTCTCCTGGTTACCACCCCTGTCCTGGTTACCACCAAGGCCCCCACCGGTCTCCGCAGCAGCCATGGCTGCGCGCAGGGCAAGCTGATCCTTGGATATTTGTCGCATCAGCGGGCCCATGCGGATGCCTGATGGGTGGAACAGTGGCGCTGGCGCGGGCGGCAGGTTTGTGGCTGGCATGGGCGGCATGGGCGGCATGGGCTGATTAGCTGCGGCGGAAGGCATGGGGGGAGGTGCGTATGGGGGTGGTGCTTGTGGCATGGGCTTTTGAGAGGCGGGCCGCGAAGGCTGCGAGTTGTTGCAGTTACTGCTGTTACCACCCCCGCCTGTGTTCGCCAGGATCACCTGCCCTGGCTGGGACTGCGACCTCTGCAGAGGCGACTTGCGAAGCGGTGGTAACTGGTTACCACCCGGTGGCAGGCTACCCTGGGAAACCAGCCTACCAGGCGAATCTCCACCTGAGTTCCCACTTGAAATTCCGCCTGAACCTGCACCAACTCTGCGTCTGACCGTTGGATCAAGACCTCCAAAGCCCGAGGAAGGCTGCATAGGGCCAGACGAGATGATCCCTTCAGCTCCACTGGGACCGAAGCTCACCCCTATATCCTCCCACCCATACTCCTCCATCTCCTCCTCCTCCGCCGCCGCGTCCGCCTCCTCCCACTCGCACTCCCCTCTCACCCGCCCTTCATTGTAAAACTCGTCCGCGCCCTTTGCGCCCCCCCCCGCGCCTTGATGCGCCCAGCTTCCCCCTCCACCTGCTCTCGGTCCCGCGCTATCCTCATTCCGCCGGGCTCCGCTCCCGCGGCCGCCACTGGGCGGGCGCGCAGCTTGCTGCGCCAAGGGGTACGCTGCTGGGGCCGCACCCGCGGAGCTGAACGCGCTTGCGCGGAGGAACGGGTGTTCCAGCAGTTGCGCGGCGGAGGGGCGGCGCGCGGGATCCCTCTCGAGGCATCTCCGCAGGAACCCCACAGCTTCCGCCGACAGATGCGCCGGAATAGCCGGCGCCGCGTTCGAGTAACCAATAGCGTGCACCAGAGCGTCAGGTGACGGATCGGCAATGTACTCGCCGTCTATATTACCGGCCGGCGGCAGTTGGCCGGTCCAAGGCGGCGAACCCGTCGCCATTTCGATTACTGTACACCCGAACGACCAGACGTCCGATGCGAACCCTTGATCTTCCTGCCGCACGACCTCCGGCGCCATCCAGCCGTACGTTCCCTGCAGCCGCTGCTTGCGCGCGATGCGCTGCGCCGCTTCCCCCGCGCGCATCGCCACGCCCAGCCCGCACAGCTTTGTCTCCCCCTCTCCCCCCGCAACAAGCACATTCGCCGCTTTCACGTCGCAGTGTACAATCCCGCGCGCATGCAATTCCGCCAACCCTTCCGCAATCCCGCGCGCGTATTTCCGCACCAGCGCCTCCGGCAACCCTCCGCACCCCCCGCCTCCGCCTCCGCCGCCGCTGTCGCCGCCGCAGCATCCGAACGTGCCCATGATATCAAGCACACTCCCAGCAGAAACATACTCGAGAAACAGATTCTTCACCCGAGCCCCGGACGCAGGTTCGGATTCCCACGCCGAGCCTAGCAGCCGAACCACGCGCGGGCAGGTTCGGAGCTCCTCCAGAATCGCCTGCTCGTTCTCAAGCTGCCGCATGGTCTTAGGAAGGCTATTAATCGACACGGACTTGACCACCAGAACCTCGCCCGTGTCAGAATTTAACGCGAGATTTACTTTCCCGGCGGGGTCGCCGCCTAGACTAGGTCCGCGAATCCAACGAATAGCCGCCGCCGCGCCGCCACACGCAGACAGCTGCTGCATCTGGTGCCGAGATAAGTCGGATGGGTGGCGGGGATGGGTGGTGTAGGAGGATGATTCTGATTGGTCGGCGTAAGAACCACGGTTCTTGAGAGGCGATTCGAAAGAGCGAGGCGCGGACAGCTCGTGTCGCATGTGGTGCGGCGCAAGGGACGAACGCGCGGCTATATCAGCCGCCATGACGAATCAAAATGCTTTTGAGCCACGGTATATTTAGTGGTGCTCTTTTCCCTAGAGGGTCAAAAGAGAGATCCTTCAGCTATCGTTTACGGGGCTGCTGCGGGGCTAATGTGCGGGTGACTGCGTGGCAAAGTGACAGATGACAATGAGAAGTGGTATCTTAGCGATGCGAAAGAGAGTTGTGCAAGGCTCTGGTTGAAAGTGACGGTTCAGGTATTGGAATAGGGACGCTAAGCTCACTCCAGATGAGTTATGGGTTGGGTAGAAGACGGAATGGAAGCTGGCGAGGCGACACAAAATGAACGAGTGAAAGACGTTAGCGAGATTGAGTGAGAGGCGACAATGCTTGCCAGTGGAATAATGTGGAAGGCAGTGCAAGCGACTGTCGATGGATTCATGTTGTGGGTGGAAGTAGGAGGTGCAGCCGCTGGAATCCTGGACAGGAGGAATGAAATGGAATGGATGGAGGAATGACGAGTAGACTCGTCTCGTCTCACTGATGCGCTGGGAATCGGGATGAAATGGCACGAGACTGACTGGTTCGCATGAAGCCAGCCACCACAAAACAAAAGGCATAGTGTGTACAGTGGGAGGCATGAGGGAGGAGTGATGAATCGGGCTCGGGTTATGAGTGCAGGTGCAGCCTTCCCTTCCCCCAAGTGGCCTGTGGTGGGTGGAATCTACTGCCATGCCATGCATCATAAATCGAACGGTATGGAAACAGAAAGGTTCTACATGGTTTTAATATTTCCTGATCCGATGGAGTGGGTTTTTATTAGGTGGTCGGTCGTCCCTGGTAGCCACCTTGCGATTGCGAACGACCATTGCGCGTCGATTGTCACACCACTGCACCTCGCACTCGGAATCGCCGTGGAGCCACCTCATGTCATAATGGACGGGGCGCCGGTGGCAGGGAATTTTAGCAAAGTGGCTGCCCGTGGTCGAGCTGGTCCAGACGCTGGCTGACCAAAAAACTGCGGATACAGTCTGTAATAAAATTCGACACCTACAGCTAGTACAGTTAACACAATGGGCAAAAGAAGTTCTAACAGATGCGTAACTGCCCCGAATTTCCTGTCAACAGTGGTGACGCGGAGTTGGTTAGAAGCGGCCTGCACCATGAGCAATTTTGAAACTTTTCCAACCAATCCAGGTGTCGTCAGCTGGCTTGGCTTTGGCACCCCACCGCTTTATCTGCCCTTCAAAATAAGCGCGATGTGACAAGAGCACCAAAATAGGGGGTCCTTGCCGATCCAATACAACAAGATACACCCTGTTTCTCAACGTTCTGACAATCGGGAGCCCGGGCTACAGTGCGAACGTGCGCTTGGATTTTGCGGGCTGGTGCTTGCAGCCGAACCCCAGGTAGGTGGCGGGCAAATGCAGTCCATTTGAACGATACAAAACTTTTTATGACAGAACATTGCTATCGCGTACGGTTGAGTGCGGCAAATTGGACGCGTTGATGTCAGAATAGGTGGCATGTCAATACAGCGCATGTCAGTGTGGCGCGAAACAGGGTGTATACATGAGCGTACTAACCAGAGACATCGCTTTCACCTAAAAAATACAATTAAACTTCTTATACCGTCATAAGGGGAAAAATGTGGCTGAGGGGCAGTCATGTGCCTACGATTCTAGAAGGTGCCACAGGTTTCTAGCAGAGTAAGGGGGGAAAGGGGAAGGGGAGGAGAGCCTGGATAAAATACGGTAACAAGTCCAGCAAAGTGACAGTAGGGTATTAGCTCCACTCCTCACTCCAAGTGCCACTGCTGCTGTCTATGTACAACCCAGAAAGTCGGCTGGAACCTGCTTTCCGTCCATGGCTGGAATTCCCTTCATTGCTCTCCCCGTGCTTTTTGGAAAACCATCTTAACAACGAAGCCTTCCCGTGGGAGTCGTGCTTCCCGTCCCGTTTGTCTTCTCTTCCTGGTGAAGACACCACCCTAAAACTGCCGCTCAGCAGTCTGTGAGGACGGCTAGGGGAATCGTGAGAGGTGGTGTCGAGATCCTCTTGCTCTTCGGAAATCGGGATGCTGCCACAGCTGCTGCCATTGACCGAGCTGCTGCTGGGAAACCTCCTGGAAGGTGGAAATAACTTAGCCGCAAATCCGGGACTTGTGCTATCGTGATGAGTGGTCAGAGCGACGGAGCTTGAGGAGGAGGGTCCAGAGGAGAAAGATCCGTTGGATTCGGAGAAAGATCTGTTGGATTCGGAGAAAGATCTGTTGGATTCGGAGAAAGATCCGTTGGATTCGGAGAAAGATCCGTTGGACGAGAGCGAGTCCGGAGAAAGCTGCGTTGACGAAGCGTAAGCAAAGGGCGGGAGTTGCGTGAGTGGATGCGCTGGCGACACGTGGCCGGTCCAGTTGTCAGCGCCGGGAGTGGCAGCGGCGGGACCGTTGGGGCCATCGGGGCAAAGGCGGGACTGCGAAGCGACCCGTCTGTGTCGGCTGCGGTACGCGGCCGCATGGCTGCTCAGATGCGCGGCGACTGGAGAGCCGAACCGGTGCTGCTGCTGCGCCATGGCGTGATGCGCGGCGAGGTGATCGCCGGGGAGCGGCATAGCATCCGCCATTACGAAAGTCGCGATTCCGCTCGTGATTCCGCTCATGTCATACCCGTGCCCGGAATCGTGAGTTGTGGATCGCGGGATCGTGCGCCTTCGAGACGCGTTCCCATCATCCGCCACCCAGGTGGCGTAGCGCGAAAGGTCGCCTGAAAGGGCTTCGGGGCCGCATGTGTCGTCGTCGGGCGAAAAACGTTTCGCCATCTCCGTAGCAAAATCGCCGGCGCGGCTGGTGGTGTCGTCGACACATGCTCCAAACGCGCTGACCGCCTGCTCCACCGTCTGAAGTGCGCTCGACCGCCGACTTGGCCTATTATTAACGCCTTTAAAGGGCCGGGTCCCGGCAGCTGCGTCGGTTTCAAGGTTGGGTGTCGCCATATCCGACTCGGGCGACGGGCTGTCGCACTCCTTTGAAACGGAAGGCTTTCGTGCCAATTTCTTGAAAGTTTTCTCTTCTGAATAATCGCTCTCCAGCATCACCGCGCGGGTCAAGACGTGATACGTGCGCCCCGGAAGGAGCACGGTATGGGTAGATAGAACGGCTTCGTCGGTGTCGAGGCTGCTGACGTGGCAGCCGGGGTACATGGCCATGACATCGCTGACGTGGACGGTGGTGTCTGGTTGGATAATGTTGACGCTGTTGTCCGGCAATAGCAGCAGAATGGAGTCGTCGTCCATCGCGTGATTTTTCTCCGAGAGCAATCGATTGAAGGAAGACGAAGGGAAATGTATGGGGAAGCAAGAGCCCTTGAGCTGAGGGAATCGAGGTGGCTTTACAACAGCATTCCTCGAATAAGTAGAAGACTCCCACCCAAGTACGCGTAGCGTCCTCCCAAGACAAGAGAATGAACCAGAATGTTCCTTGAACTCCAAGCAAGCAACACAAAAAGCAGGCAGCGTGTTGATGAAGGGAGGAGCTACAGGCCACCACGTAAGAAACGCTCACCCAAAAAACGGTGTGAGTAAGAAAAGTGACTTTCCGCGTGTCGAATAGCAACGGGGTAGCAGCACTCCCTCTGCACACCTTGCATTTTGAAAAGGCTTGCTCCTTGCTTTGCTTGCTGCTTTTCCTGCTGCTGCCTTTGTCTGGTTGGATGATCCCCTCCCCTGGACCATACTGCCGAGAAATGTGAATCTCGAAATGCCACAAGCAACAAATTGCGTCCTCGGGGAAAGTTGAATTCTCTGGCTTGGCCTATCGGCGAGCAGATAAAAAAGGTCCGTCGTCGACGTGGTTGCAGCAATTCTGTTTTGGCATCTTGCGCCGGGCAGCATTGAAAGCTGCTCTGCTTGAGGCTCAGCCAATAGCGTCGCGCAACGCGGCATAGTCAAGGTCGCCTAATGCTGCAAGAACAGCAACTTCCTGACAGGAAATTCAACTTTCAAGCAGACAGACCACGTTCGGAATCAGACAACGAGGATCCCGACGTCCTCCGTAAGGAGAAGTTTGGCTCGTCATATTAATCTCGAGATATATATGATTTTAAGTTTAGTGAATGCTTATGAGAGTTGGAAATTGCATATACACTCTGGAAGCTGGATTGCTTGGTCTGACCACAGGTCACTCATATAAGACACAGACCTGCCACTATGACTGCACAGTCGTAAGCTGAGAGCACACTAATCTTGCTTACACAGCCATTCCCCTCTACAGTCTGATTCGATTGCTAGATTCACACCCTCGGCTTCACGGTAAGAGAACCCACAAAAATAGCAATGAGTGGCTCTCGCGCACATGGTGGTGAGCGGTGGCTTACATTGTGGGGGATGCACTGATGCAGCTTAGTCTGCTTCTGAAGGAGCACCTCGCAGGAGTACGCTCCAGAAGCACAGGGAAATTAGGTTAGTGTTATGAACGATGCTACAGCGTTGTAGGGACCAGGCCGACAATCCGCCTGTGTTAGAAAATCAAGGAATGGGAGCTTCTGATATATGATGGAATCCTGTAGTGCAAACTAAGCGGCTCCTTTCGAAAGCGTGGTTGGTTGTTACAATGGTCGGCGTGCAAATCGCCGGAATGAAGGAAATAATTGCTGGGAACATGGGGGGTTGATGGCAGAACCCTTGTACCATTGAGCCTTGCTGTACATTTCCCTTCCAGTCCTGAACCTCACTCTCTCCCGTTCTCTTTGCATGATTTTTGCAGCGGCTGCTGCCGCCTTTCCATTCCATGCTGCTCTCTCGTTGCAACCACTTTGCTGCTGTTGCCGGTGCAGGAGGCTGGCAGTAATTGCAAGGTTTTTAGGGAGTAATTCTGTGTGCATGGGATGGTGTGGCATTGCAAGAGGTCATGGTGTCACAGGTTGTCCTCATGGCTCCACCCCATCCCTTTTGCCCACCGCCCATGTTCCTGCCGAGAAATACCGCACACTCCCGACCCGTGCGGGTGCTGCTGCCGACGCTGCCCTTGTGCTGCGGCCGAACCTGCCCTTCTGCTGCTGCCGAACCTGCCCTTCTGCTGCTGCCGAACCTGCCTTGTGCTGCTGCCATACCTGCCTTATGCTACGGTCGAACCTGCCCTTCTGCTGCTGCCGAACCTGCCCTTGTGCTGCGGCCGAACCTGCCCTTGTGCTGCTGCCGAACCTGCCCTTGTGCTGCTGCCGAACCTGCCCTTGTGCTGCTGCCGAACCTGCCCTTGTGCTGCTGCCAACCAAACAAATCCAATGCCGCATCCACTTCACTACCTCTTCTTGTTCCTGCCCTTGTGCTGCCCTTGTGCTGCCCTTGTGCTGCCCTTGTGCTGATCTTGTGCTGCTCTCGGCCCAGTGTTGTTTCCGAGCCCACGGTGTTGTGCATCCAACAGTGTCGCTTCGCCAGCTGTGCTGCTGAGCTGCTTTCCACACAAGGCATCGTGCCACACCACACTCCTCTCCACCTTTCTCATGGCTCAGCACTTTCTCCCCCTTCGCTGCTACCAAATCCTTCTCGTGCTAAGCCGCGGTTCTGGCGAGCGGGGAAGCAACAGCGGAAAGGGCAGGAGCAGCGAAAAAGCAGCAGGCAGAAGGAGCAGGGCAGCAGGAAAAAGGCAGCAGGAGCAGGGCAGCAAGAAAGGAGCAGCAGCAGCACGAGCACCTTGGACGGATCTGTACCCTCTGCCCTGCCCCTGCTGCACGCAGCACCACTGGTACTCCCTGGGCCACACACACCTGTCTGCTCTATTGCATCGGCACCAGGAGAGCGCCGAGCGGGTCTGATGCGCTTGCCACTTGGTAAGGTACGTGCATTCATGGAAGCTTGAGGGCGGGGTCGATGGGCTTGGTGAGGTACGCATCCATGCCCGCGTCCAGACACTTCTTCTCGTCTCGTCCACACACCTGCTTGCTTGCTGGCTTGCCTGCCTGCCTGCTTGCTTGCTTGCTGGCTTGCCTGCTTGCTTGCAGCCCAGCGCACTGCGTCACGGCTGCATAGCCACCACCAGCCGCCGCAGGAGAGACCGGCCGCTCCCCCCCAGCAGAACCAGAACCAGCTGCACCCACCCCTCCCCCAGCAGCAGAGGCGTCAGCCGTACCAGCAACGTCAACTGCTACACTCCCCTCCTCGCCCTCCGCAATGCTCTCAATGTGCGGAACGCAGCAGCGCGGGTAGCGGGTCATGAGGGAGAGCAGCTTGTGCGCCATGAGAGCGGGGTCGATGGGCTTGGTCAGGTACGCATCCATGCCCGCCCGCATCCAGACACTTCCTTCTTCTCGTCCACACACCTGCTCGCTTGCTTGCTTGCTCGCAGCTCCAACTCACTGGATCACGGCTGCATGGTCACCACAAGAGCAGCAGCAGGAGACACCGGCCGCTCCCCCCCAGCAGAACCAGAACCAGCTGCACCCACCCCTCCCCCAGCAGCAGAGGCGACAGCTGCAACTTCCACTGTCACACTCCCCTCCTCACCCTCCGCAATGCTCTCAATGTGAGGAATGCAGCAGCGCGGGTAGCGGGTCATGAGGGAGAGCAGAGTGTGCGCCATGAGAGCCGGGTCGATGGGCTTGGTCAGGTACGCATCCATGCCCGCGTCCAGGCACTTCTTCTCGTCGCTGGTCATGGCGTGGGCTGTGAGCGCCACTATGGGCGTGTGGAACCGCGTGCCTGCCTCCGCTGCTCGGATGGCTGCTGTGGCTCCGTACCCGTCAAGAACAGGCATCTGGAGTGAGGAAAAAGGGAAGAGGGGGGTCGTAAGTTGGGGGGGTAAGAAGCGCGTGGGTGGAAAGAAGGGGCAAGAAAAAGGAGTGGGGGATGAGAAGGGGTGAGTACGCATCCATGCCCCCCAGTCCATGAGCACAAGAGCGAGCAACCCCCCAGACCTACCTGGCAGTCCACGAGCACGGCATCGCATCGTGTGGCGGCGTATCCCTGTGTTTCCGTAGCAGCACGTGACATTAAACCAAGGTGACTTAGAGGTAGCTTCTAGCAAGCAAGCCTACCTGAGAGTCCATGAGCACCGCATCCTATCGCGTGGCCGCATCTCCCTGTGACCCCCCGACAGCATGTGACATGACCCAATGTGACCTCTGAGTCAACCCAAAAGCCACACAGGGTTGGTTTCGAACCGGCAAGCCTACCTGGCAGTCCATGAGCACGGCATCGTAGTGCGTGGCGGCGTCTCCCTGAGTGTCTCTGGCAGCGTAGGTGGCGAGAATTGCGTCCACCGCCTGCTGCCCGTCACACACCGCCTCCACCTCGCACCCCAGCTTCTGCATTCGGATTATGGCCACCTGGTGGGATGGAGGGGAGGAGGAGGAGGAGAGGAGAGGGAAGGTGAGGAGGAGGAGAGGGGAAGGGGTGGGAACAATAGTCAGTCACACACCGCCTCCACCTCGCACCCCAGCTTGAGAGGAGGGGGTGAGCGTCTCACCTTGCAAAGCAGCGCTGTGATCTCACCTGTGAGCACCCCTGCATTCCCATCATCCTGCCACCACGAAACCAGCCTAAGAGCACCCATACGCTGCACTTTCTCTGACCGCCTGCCCTGGCCAGGCCCAGAGTGGCCTCACCTTGTGCAGCAGCGCCGCCGTGTGCTTGCTCAGCACCCGCCTGGTGACTTTTGAGTCGACTCAAAAGTCACCCTGGCCAGGCCCAGAGTGGCCTCACCTTGTGCAGCAGCGCCGTGTGCTGCTTGCTCAGCACCCGCCTGCCCAGCATGACCCTTAAATCTTCTGCCAGACCAGCCTCTGAGCGACAGCCTTCACCCTGCCCATCCACCCGCATCCCCCTGGCCATCCCCTGCCCACTGTGGCAATCACCTTGCGCAGCAGCGCCGTGTCCTCTGCAATGAGCACCCACTTGCCCAGCATGGCCCTTCAACCTTGCGCCGAACCTGCTCACCTCATCACCCCACCCACCTTGCGCAGCAGTGCCGTGTCCTCTGCGATGAGCACCCGTGATCTCAATTCATACAACCCTCTGACTGCACCCCCTGCCCATCATCCCACCCACCCACCCACCTTGCGCAGCAGTGCTGTGTCCTCTGCGATGAGCACCCGCTTGCCCGCCAGTGCTGTCTCAAAGTTGCCCTCCCCTGCTGCCCCCGGGGCATGCTGCCATGCCACGCCCAGGGAAGAGAGATGACCATACCGTAGGGGAAGGGGAGGGAAGGGGAACGAGTAAGGGGTAAGGGATAAGAGTGTGAGTGAGGGGGGAGGGGGAAAGGGGGTGAGTGAGGGGAGGGGTTGAAGGGGGTGAGTGGGGGGAGGGGGAGAAGGGGGTGAGGTGAATGAGGGGAAGGGGTGAGGAAGAGATGAGGAACTGCTTGCATGCAAAGACATTGAAGAGCGATGGGAAAAGAGGAGAGAACTTGGCAGAAGGGGAAAAAGAACTTGGCAGGGAGAGAGACGCACGCAAGCACACGCACACACAGTGTTTCACCACCAGAAAACTCCTGTTTTCCTGTCCCAGGGAGAGGGATGTATGCACAAACATGCACGCCCACAAGCGCACAATTGCGCGCCACCCCCGCCCACACTCACATGCACACGCAAACATGCTCGCACGAGCGCGCGCGCGCACGCACACACACACACACACACACACACACACACACACACACACACACACACACACACACACACACACACACACACACACACACACACCTTCATAGACCGAGCGCGGCCCACTCTGTGTGTCGACCCCTTGCCACTGCCACCATCCCTCTGACTCTCACTCGCCCCTCCAACCCCTGCTGCCACCCTCGGCCCTTCCCCAGCCCCACCAGCAGCTGCAGCTCCTGGCGACCCCACCGCTCCTCCTCCTCCCAATCCCCCTGCCCCTCCTCCCCCTGCCCCTCCTCCCCCGGCTCCGCCTCCCCCTCCCCCCACGCCCCCCCGTGCCATGAGTCTGGCAGAGGGAGACATGCCGCCCGCTGCTGCTGCCAGCGACGCTGGGGACGGCAGCGCCCTGCGGGATCCCGCTGCTGACGTGGCGGGCGCCTGTTTGTCCACTGCCACGTCCTCCTCCTCCACTGGCGGGGGGAGCGACCAGCTCTGTGGAATGCGGGAGAGGGGAGGAAGAGTGGGTGGGAGGGGAGGAGAGGGGAGGGGAGGGGGGGGAAGGGGAGGGGAGGGGAGGGGAGGGGAGGGGAGGGGAGGGGAGGGGAGGGGAGGGGAGGGGAGGGGAGGGGAGGGGAGGGGAGGGGAGAGGGAGGAAGGATGAGGGCCGCCACACCTTTGAGAAGGAGAAGGAATGGGGAGAGGGTGGGTTCATCCTACATCAGAAAAAAAAAAAAAAAAAGAAAAAAAAAAAAAAAACACCACACACAAAAAAGAAGAACACATCCGGCCAGCAGAGAAAAAAACATTTCTCACCGAGTCCTCTCCATGCCAGTGTGGCCCCGCACCTCCCCCACCACCTCCTCCTCCGCCTCCCCCTCCCCCTTGTTCCCTCCTCCCCGCCCCCGCACTGGGCAGCGGCGGCATGTCAATACTCGAGCTCGAATGCGCCACCCCATTCCTCGCAGTCGCCAGCGCCAGCAGCGGCGCCATGCGCGACGCATACAGCGGCTTGGACGCCACCGCACACCCCGACCGCCGCAGCGACCGTCTCGTATCCGCCGACGTGTTATGCTCCACGAGCCACGCGATCACAAACCCCTGGTGCTGCAGCCTGGCTCGGAAAATATGAAGCTCCTCTGCTATGAACTGGTACAGGTTCGGGACTAGAGACACGTCGATAATCGCGAGGACTAGACGCGAGTTGGCGGAGCCGAAGCTGTTGCCGCCGGGGGTACCTGCGCCGTCGTCCCCCACCGTTCCGGGGCTATTTACCCTGCCGTGCTCGTTGAAGGAGCTTCGGGAGAACGACGAGGCTGGAGACATGGCTCGGCCCGGACCTGCGCTGCTCCCTGCCGCGGCAGGACTTGCTACCGAGGCACCACTATTTACCGAGCCTGAGGCATAGGGCTGGCTCGGAGGAACACGATCTCTCGGGGTGGTGGGGCGATGACCAGCAGGTCCGGCAGCAGGGCTGGCCGAGCCTCCCCCGTCCCTAAACGACGCCCCTTGGCTTTGGTTCAGCTCCGGAATCGGACTAAACACCCCTTCCTTCCCCACTCCCCTACCTGCACCGCCCCTCCCGCTCGCCCCAAGCCCCTCCCTGCCCGGCTGAAACGACCGAGCCAGCGGCGCGGAAAACCCCACCATAGATCTCGACACTCTCGGCTGTAACCCCGCTCGATCCGACGCTCTATGCACCAGCATAGACGAAACCGCCGGCATGATATCGCCCCACTGCGTGGCCCGCCACACGTGCAGCTTCCTGCGCTCGAGCCACGAGCAGGCAATGGCGGCGCTGGCGGACTCCTCGCGCATGGCGAGGAGCACCTGGCCGCCCTCGACGGTGGTGAGCTTGGGGAGGAGGAACTCGGGCTGCAGCATGCTGTTCTTCCACACGCTGCTGTGGTCCAGCGCCTCACAGCACAGGTCAAACCGGAACCGCGCCCCCGCCCCCTCCTTGTCCACCACCGCTATGCGCCCGCCCATCAGTTGCACCTGCGGTTGGTGCGGGAGTGGGGAGTGGGAGTGGAAGGGCGGGACGAGAAGGTCAATGACGCTGTGATGAAAACGCTATGTTTGCCCTCCTTGTCCACCACAGCTATGTGTCCGCCCATCAGTTGCACCTGCCGTGTGGGGGGGGGGGAGAGCGAGTGGGGCAAAATGCATCCCACTTCTTAAAGAATCTTAATGACGCTATGATGTGAGCCCCCCTCCCTCCCCGCCATGTCGGCCCTCCCTCCTTGGCCACCACGGCTATGTGCACGGAAATGGCCATTTCTCGTTCTCGTGGACGAAATGGCAGTGGTTGAAAAGACGGCTTTGCCAAGTCAAAGGAGGGAGCAAAGCAAGGGTGTGACGCAACGCAGCGAGGTGTATTACCAACAGACCAAACCCTAAAACGGCAGGCAGAACCGGAACGCACCAGGGATTTGACGATGCCCAGGCCGAGCCCGGTGCCGCCATGGGTGCGATTAGTGGAGGCATCGGCCTGCTGGAAGTTTTCAAACACGAGCTGCCTCTTGTGCGCGGGAATGCCCGGCCCCGAATCATCCACCTCAAACATAAACGTCACCATCCGCCTCTCCCGACCCCCCTCCTTCCCGCCTGCACCCGCTCCGCCCCCTGCCCCTGCGCCCCCTCCCGCCCCCCCTGCTGCTGCTGCTGCGCCTGCTGCTGTTGACGGGTCGGATGGGTCGCCCTCTGTGCCGCCTGCAGCGTCGGTGGCAGCAGTGGTTGTGGCTGAAGCTGACGCGCTGTCTGCGTCGTGGCTGGCTCGCCTGGGAGGTGGAGAGGGAGGGGAGAGAAAGGGAAGGGGAGGAGGGGGAGTGAGGGTGGGAAGGGGGAGGGGGGTCGGGGGGAGGAGGAGGAGGAAGGGGATGGTAATCTGATAGTTATCATTCGTAGGGATGTGATTGGATTAGCTGGGATGTGATGAGATAGCGGAGCGTGGGGCCAAGGGGGGCTTGAGTGAGAGCATCAAGGTTGGGGTGTGGATGACCGACTAGGAGAGTGATCAGGGTGGCAGTAGGGAGGGGTGGCTTCTGCGGCTCTCAAAAGTCGCCTGCTGGTACCATGAAGTGAGGTAGGGGTAAAGATCAAGGTCAGAAGTGAGGGTGGGGTGGGGGTGGGGTTGGGGGTGGCGGTGGGGGTGGGGGTGGGGAGGGAGGCTGTTGGTCTGGGGCGAGGCGACTCATGTGTCCGCCTCAATGATACCTATTAAATAGTGGATACATGAGGAGAGGGATACTGCTGTGACTGCATCAAAGAAGTAGTGGGACGTGGGCGAGTGGAAGGTTGTTTGAGAGAATTCTCGAAAATAGTGGATATATGAGGAGAGGGATACTGCATCAGAGTAGTAGTGGGACGTGGGCGAGTGGAAGGTTGTTTGAGAGAATTCTCGAAAATAGTGGATATATGAGGAGAGGGATACTGCATCAGAGTAGTAGTGGGACGTGGGCGAGTGGAAGGTTGTTTGAGAGAATTCTCGAAAATAGTGGATATATGAGGAGAGGGATACTGCATCAGAGTAGTAGTGGGACGTGGGCGAGTGGAAGGGAACGCCGATAAGGCTCCGCTCTGGCTTTTCCTCTATATCTCTCTGACCCCTGACCTCCCTCTTCCCAGATCCCCAACTGCGTGCCCTCCCGCCCCTGTCCGCCCCACCTCTCATGCATCCCCTCTCTTGCCCCATCCGAACCGTTCCTCTTCACCCACCAGTGCCCCCTACCCCCTGATCTCCCCCTCCCCTCACGCCAATGCGTCCCAAACACAGACGTCCCCCTCTCTCATTCCCCCACTCACTTCTTCTCCCCTGGGATAGACTGGTTTTTTAGAACTCTCAAAACTTAAACACAAACGCCCCTGTCTTTCTCTCATTCCACTCACTTCTTCTCTCCCGGGATGGACAGGTCCGAGTCGCGGAGGTGGGGCGGCGGGTTGTGTCTCATCCACCCCCTCACAATCACCTGCCCGTTCTGCGTGAACTTGCACGCGTTGCTCAGCAGATTCGCGAACACCTGACGGGCGGCAGGAGAGGATAGGGCGATGAGGGAGACAAGGAGCAGAAGGAGACGAGGGAGAGGGAAACGAGGGAGACAAGGGAGAGAGGGAAATAGGGAGTGGCAGGGAGAGTTGAGGGCAAGTGAGAATTGCGAAACGCCTTGGTGGATTGTGAAGGGGAAGCATGGGGAACACAGAACACACACACAAAAGCCACCTTCCCTCCCCTCCCACGCAACACCCCACTCTCTCACCTGCCTGACCCTTGAGGGGTCTCCCTTCACCGTCCTTCAATGTCATCTGATAGGTCCAGAGCGATTTCCGTGCCATTGCTCAATCCCTGCACGCTGAACATGTCGACGAGCGACTCGAGCTCGCCCACAATGTCAAACTCCAGCACCTCCAGCTGCATGCTCGCATTCACTCATGCACGCACCCACCATTCCATCACAGCCCACACACCACACAACAGCACCAGCCTGCTTCCAGGCACCTTGGTCCTGCTCTCACCTGCCGGACACGGGAGGGATCCCCTTTAACGGTCCGCTCAATATCATCCGACAGATCCAGAGCGATCTCCGTGCCGTTGCTCAATCCCTGCACGCTGAACATGTCGACGAGCGACTCGAGCTCGCCCACAATGTCAAACTCCAGCACCTCCAGCTGCATGCGCCCCGCCTCCACCTTGGCCAGGTCCAGCAGGTTGTTCAGCAGCCCCAGGAGGGACGCGCAGCACGACTTCATCTGCCGCAGATTGGCCTCTTGCTCCGCTGTTAGGTGATCGCACAGCATGATGTCCAACAGACCCAGGATGCTGGACGAGGGGGGAAGGGGAGGGTTGTGTTAGGATGGGGGATGGGGAGGAGAGGGGGGAAGGGGAGGGTTGTGCCAGGATGGGGGATGGGGGGAAGCGGGAGGTTGGCCTCTTGGTCCGCTGTTAGGTGGTCGCACAGCATGACGCCCAGCAGACCCAGGATGCGGGAGGAGGAGAGAAGGGCGAGGGGGAGGGGGTTTGGAATGGTCAAAAGGGAAGACCGTGCTGTGAGGATGGAGGGGAGGAAGATGAGAGACAGGCGTGCGTCTGACCTAAGGCGTGCAATGCACTGTGAGGGGGAGGGAGCGGGAAGAAGGAGGCCCAACCCAACCCCTGACCCACCCGGCCATGGGCGCCCTGACGTCATGGGAAGACCTTAGTCACGAACTGGGGTAGTGATAGTGTGAGAGGAGTGTGTGCGTGGAGGGAGGGTGTGGTGGGTGGGGAGAGGAGCGAGAAGCCCAACCCAAACCCTGACTCACCCGGCCATGGGCGTGCGCAGGTCGTGGGAGATATTCGCCAAAACATGACTCTTGACCTCGGAGGCGGCCTGGGCTCGCTGTGTCTCCTCCTTCTGGCGCTGCAGCTCCTCCTTGGGGCGCATGTGCATGTCCACGTAGAGCGTGAGAAAGATCACCACCACCCACCCCACCCAGACTTCAGGTATGCGTGTGCGGGGGGGCGGAGGAGGGGAGAAAGGGGGAACGAAGGGTAATGCTCACTCACCCGGCCATGGGCGTCCGCAGGTCGTGGGAGATGTTGGCGAGGAACTGGCTCTTGACCTCAGAAGCAGCCTGCGCCCGCTGTGTCTCCTCCTTCTGGCGCTGCAGCTCCTCCTTGGGGCGCATGCGCGTGTCCACGTAGAGCGTGAGAAAGATCACCACCACCCACCCCAGCAGCAGCAGCCCCACCGCCACACAGGATGTGACTATGATCATTGTCTCCATCTCGTGATCCACTGTGCCCATTATGGACGTGCGTGGGAGGATGATCACCAGGTACTGGTGGAGAGGGGTGGAGAGCGGTGCAGGGAGGTGGAGAGGGGTTTGGAAGAGATGGCACACACAGGATGTGACTATGATCATTGTCTCCATCTCGTGATCCACTGTGCCCATTATGGACGTGCGTGGGAGGATGATCACCAGGTACTGGTGGAGAGGGGTGGAGAGCGGTGCAGGGAGGTGGAGAGGGGTTTGGAAGAGATGGCACACACAGGATGTGACTATGATCATTGTCTCCATCTCGTGATCCACTGTGCCCATTATGGACGTGCGTGGGAGGATGATCACCAGGTACTGGTGGAGAGGGGTGGAGAGCGGTGCAGGGAGGTGGAGAGGGGTTTGGAAGAGATGGCACACACAGGATGTGACTATGATCATTGTCTCCATCTCGTGATCCACTGTACCCATTATGGACGTGCGCGGGAGGATGATCACCAGGTACTGGTGGAGAGGGGTGGAGAGCGGTGCAGGGAGGTGGAGAGGGGTTTGGAAGAGATGGCACACACAGGATGTGACTATGATCATTGTCTCCATCTCGTGATCCACTGTACCCATTATGGACGTGCGCGGGAGGATGATCACCAGGTACTGGTGGAGAGGGGTGGAGAGCGGTGCAGGGAGGTGGAGAGGGGTTTGGAAGAGATGGCACACACAGGATGTGACTATGATCATCGTCTCCACCTCGTGATCCACTGTGCCCATTATGGACGTGCGTGGGAGGATGATCACCAGGTACTGGTGGAGAGGGGTGGAGAGCGGTGCAGGGAGGTGGAGAGGGGTTTGGAAGAGATGGCACACACAGGATGTGACTATGATCATTGTCTCCATCTCGTGATCCACTGTACCCATTATGGACGTGCGCGGGAGGATGATCATCAGGTACTGGTGGAGAGGGGTGGAGAGCGGTACAGGGAGGTGGAGAGGGGTTTGGAAGAGATGGCACACACAGGATGTGACTATGATCATTGTCTCCATCTCGTGATCCACTGTACCCATTATGGACGTGCGCGGGAGGATGATCACCAGGTACTGGTGGAGAGGGGTGGAGAGCGGTGCAGGGAGGTGGAGAGGGGTTTGGAAGAGATGGCACACACAGGATGTGACTATGATCATCGTCTCCATCTCGTGATCCACCGTTCCCATTATGGACGTGCGCGGGAGAATTATCACCAGGTACTGGTGGGGAGGGTAGACGGGTGGAGAGGGGTGGAGAGGAGAGCAGTGGAGGGGTGTACGGGAGGGCGGGTTCAGGGGGTAAGGGGAGGGAACAGAGAGGAGGTGCAGTGCAGCACCGTTCTCATTTTGCGGTCTACAGTCCCCCCCACGCATCAGCGAGGTGTGTGAGAGTCAGAGGATTCTCAGCAGGCACTTGTGAACGACACGACACCTGGGCTGCGAGATGATCACGGGGGGCACATACCTGCCAACCTGGCAGTGCCCATGTGCCATCCTGGCAGGGCCAGCCTGGCTTATCAACACACCAGCCTCAGCTTATCAACTCACCAGCCTCAGCTTATCAACTCACCAGCCTGGCTTATCAACTCACCAGCCTCAGCTTATCAACTCACCAGCCTCAGCTTATCAACTCACCAGCCTCAGCTTATCAACTCACCAGCCTCAGCTTATCAACTCACCAGCCTCAGCTTATCAACTCACCACCCTCAGCTTATCAACTCACCAGCCTCAGCTTATCAGCTCACCACCCTCAGCTTATCAACTCACCACCCTCAGCTTATCAACTCACCACCCTCAGCTTATCAACTCACCACCCTCAGCTTATCAACTCACCACCCTCAGCTTATCAACTCACCAGCCTCAGGTTATCAACGGCGAAGCCCATGCTGCTGACGTACCACGCGCGCCCCACCACATCCACATTGCTCAGACTATAATTCCCCGCCACCAGAGCCGGCAGCCCAAACTCCCGCTCCAAATACCGCGCCACGCCTGCAATCGTCGCATCCTCCACATCCGTCGCATTCACAAACTGCTGCAACCGCCCGTCTTCAGTCGGGGTAGACGTAGCCACCCCCGTCGACGTCGCCACCAGGAACCCTTCAGAGCTTCCGATGTACATCACACAGCCCTCTATTGTGTCCTGCCCGAGAAACCTGTTCACCACACCCACGGACGTGCCTAGAATGAGCACGCCCACAGGGGCGCGCCTCTCTGGAACCTGCACTGCTGAGGTGGCGACGAGCATCGGGCCTGACAGGTCCTGAATCGCGTTGAACGTCCACAGGAGATTCTCCTCCCCGCGCTCGATCTGCTGGTATAGTTCCACGGATCCTAGTCGTAGCGGCTTGAACGGCGTCGGCGTGTTGTTTGCGGGCAGCCCGGAGGAGGAGTTTGTGGGCAGGATGAACCAGGGGGCGGTGGAGTTGGGGAGGACGTTTTTGGAATAGACCATGGAGAGGGATCCGTCCTGGGAGGCGAAGGATTGTTTTGCCAGGTCGTACTGTGCGTATGTTACAAAGGGGCCTGTCATGCTGTAGTAGCCGAGCGTGGTGATGTGTGGCAGTGAGCTCTTGAAGAACGACCAGAGTAGGGGACGGACCTGGGAGGTGGGGAGGGAGGGGAAGGGGAAATGGTGGGGATGGTGGCGGAACGGGTGGGAGGGATGAGGAGGACGGGCGAGGAAGAGATTTGAGCACGTGTTGTGTAACGGTAAGGATTGTAGGGTGCTAACGCGTTTCAGTGTGGATGCGTGGTGTGACCTTTAAGGGAACGGTTTGGTCGTGAAGAGAGATACATACATGGTAGTGACCCATGCGTGCACCTGTGGCATAGGCATATGGCCGTGATCATGGCATATGCATGTAGCTGTGATGGCATGCCGCATACCCATGATGGTATATACATGTAATCATGATGTCATCTGCATATTTGCATGATTGAAAGCGCATGTGCTCGTGTATGTGCGTAACACATGCGCATGCGTGCATTCAAATCCTTCTGCCCACTACCGCTCACCACCGCCCACCACCGCGCTCACCAGCACATCCGGCCCTTCACCCACGCACCAGTCTGAGGTTATCGTTAAGAGTTAGGTTCCACGTGCGCAGCTGCTGGAAGGTGGTTTCGAGCACAGAGGAGAGCGACACGAGCACGTCGCGGTCGCGGTTTATGTACAGCAGGAACTGCTCCTGCACGCCCACTAGGGTCTTCTCGCGCAGCCTGCCGAGGGAGGGGGGAGTTGTCGGGGTGGGAGGGGTTATAAGCATCCTCTATACATCGCGGTTGCGGTTTATGTACAGCAGGAACTGCTCCTGCACGCCCACTAGGGTCTTCTCGCGCAGCCTGAAGAGAGGGGGCGGCGAGGGAACCAAGGGGGTGAGGGGAAGGGGGAGGGAGGGTTGTGAGCGTGGGCAAAAGGAAACATGCCTTATAAGCATCCGCTACACGTCGCGGTCGCGGTTTATGTACAGCAGGAACTGCTCCTGCACACCCTACTAGGGTCTTCTCGCGCAGCCTGCGGAGGGAGGGCGAGTGGCAAATGAAACAAGTGTTATGCTCCTATAACGGAAGGAGGAGAACACGGTCGGCCGTTATGATAAGAAAGCTCGTACAGCAGACAGGAACTGCTGTGAGTTCCAATCAGGGTGTTCTCATGCAGCCTGCGGGGGAGAGTGTGGGGGGTGCGAGGCAGCGGAAACCCGTGCGTGACTAGATGAGGAAGCTAGTACTCGGGTATTCCCTAGATGAGAGCTGGGAGATGGGGGAACGAGACACGCTATTGAGCAAAGCGGCCCTTTATTGGCCATAACGAGCAGTTCACTGGGCCGCAGTGGCGGTGAATGTGGTACAAGTGGAACGACGTCAGGCTTCACAATAGGCTGAGACGGTTTAGGAACGAAAGCAAGTGCAGGGGAAAACGCGCGACTCAAACAGAAGGCGGAGAATCGCGTAATATCCGGCTGCGGCGTAGATTGTGGCGTGCGATGGTTGCGTTGCGGGGGAGCAGCGGGAGGGGATAGAGAGCGGGGAAGGCGGGGAGCGGGAGCGGGCGAACGTACTGAAGGGCGACGGCGTCGAGCGATTGGCTGTAGACAGTTTTGGCGGCGAACCACGTGCCGACTGTGAGCACCACCACCACTATCACCAGAAACGCCTGCCAATCCAATCACCAACGAAATTCTCACGTGTGAGCACAACCACCACTATTACCACAAACGCCATCCTTGACGGACAGCCCGAACGGATGAACCCCGATCAGATCAGCAGGATTAAAAACGCTCCAGGACGGTCGCAGACCATTGGAGACGGCAGATCTGGAGTGGTGAACCACGTCTAGACCCGACAGACCAGCGACTCCAGCGATATCTACAACGCCCTAGAGGCGGAAATAACAGCAACCTAAGAGAAACGGATCCGTTAGGGTTCGGACAACGATACTTCTCACAAGAAGAGCTGAGTTCAGCAATGGGTCTACGATAGGATTTGAAACCAAATGTTCAGGGGGGTACGTTAGAGTAAAAGACTAAAGTAACTGAGCTTGCGCCTCCTCCATGTAAGAGAACCATAACTAGATTCCTACGCAAGTCCCCGCGAAGAACTTTGCGAAGTCGTGTCGCGCAGTACGAGGCAGTTCCGTGATCGCAAGTTCTCAGAGGCTGGAGTATAGACGCTCTTAACTTCTGAAGGTCGATTCCCGATAATACGTCCTAAGTGTGGACCCTCGAGACGTTTACTAAGAGAATCGTAGCCCTACTTCCAGTATCAGTCTGCAAAGCACGCAAGCTGTGAGCTGGTCGGAGCTGACTCGCTCGCGCTTGCCGTACGATTACCGACCGTCACTTTTGTTAGCAGTACGACAACGTACCATCATAACTAGCCGGGTGATAAAAACGGGGGATTGCAGGTGATGCATCAACTGCTGCCGTTTCGACGGCGGCTTCGTCAGCAGCGCGTCATCCTCCTCCGCTCCTTCCCCCGCTTCCTCCCCCGCTTCCTTCTCCGCTCCCTCCGGTTTCGCTTTATTCTTCGCCGCTACCTTCTTAGCTTTTGTACTCGCCACCTTTTGCGCTTCCTCGTCATCATCTCCCGCGTCTGCGTCTCGTTCTGGGAATCCCATTCTACAGAACCGGTTTGCGCTAAGCACGCCGCACATCTGCAGAGCTCGCTCTTTTCTTGTCATTGTACCTCTCACCGGCGAATGAATCCCATTGTCCCAATGGCTGTCGCCTATTTCGTCACTTACGCCACTCTCGCGACTATGGGACTGCCTAATGGTTGGTAACTCGCTTGGCATGTCCTGGGAACCGACTGATGACACCACAATATTAGCGGGACATGCATTCAGGGGTCGTCGAGGAGCGTAGGAGGTCGATATGCCGTTATCAAAACAGAAATGATCGGCTGTGCTTTCATTACTGTACGTAGCAGACGGGAAGACTTCGAGGTCAGAGGCATCTGAGGAGTGAGATTCATAAAACGAACGAATCATGGCAAAACCTAAGGCGAAGTTGTCACACCTGACGACCGATGGTGGAAGATTGACCATCCACCGCACTAAACCGATGCTGTATTCTCTACACCCTACTAAGATGCGTCCAACCTCGTGGCAAGGGAGGTCCCGAGGGCGATCGAACTTGATCCTCAACTTTTACCACCCGCTGCGAAACGAGCTGGCAGAGGCGGCACTGGGAATACCGATAGGTCAACAGATGCGTGGATGTAGGGACAGAAGGGATGATGCCCGCTGTTGGCAGCCTGACAGCAAGAAGTGAACCCATTCCAAGGCGAGGCGAGGTGAGCGACCCGCCCCACGAGGGAGCTGGGGGAGCGGAAGGGAACGGGCAGGAGAACGAGAGCGGATCGTCCCAACTACCCCGCTCACCAGCCCATCCTTTCAGCAAACTGTTGCGTAGCGGAAAACCAAGGGGCACTGCTAAGGGTGGAACACCGGCGGGAAAAGATTCCTCCATGCCACTCACCGAACCACACTGCCCACGACAAAAATCGGTGGAAGGAAACATAGGGCGACAAAAGGGAAAACTGAAAGAATTTCCTCGTAACGGCTCGTGTTCCATTTGAACCGAGGCGACACGTTCGCGACAGTGCTGCGACGGCCTGGTTTGGTTCAAGCAAACTGATGACCAATCCATGACCAGAGCAGCGACACTGCGTTCGCTTTTGATCAATGGAGGATTAGGCAGTACACCATTATTTATGAAATAGTGCTAGTAAAACGAAACAAAATTCATCTCAGCAAGTATCATGATACCATATGCTGATTGTTTTATGATGCATAAATTTCCTATAATACAGATTTAAACACAAAATCGAATGAATGGAGATTTTTGTTTTTTCTTGTAAGACCTAGAAGTTAATGAGAGTTAAACATACACCGCCAAGAAGTTGTACACTAGGTAAAAGTGGCGCGCGAAAGCGGCGAAACAACTTAGCAGTAACGGGCGAAGAACGGTCTGAAAGCGTAGGTCGGAAGCTTTCAGTGTCGCATCCCAGGCAATGTAGTGTCGCGTCGGTTTTCCTAGTGAAGTCCCCATCTTTCGCGAGGCGTGCTAGCGATCTCCAGGTGAGTTTGAAAATCTTCGCCACCCGGTCGTCGCTTCTCTCTGCTCCATTCTTCCCCCAACCAGCACAACCTCTTCAGCAGCATCCCGTCGAACCGATTTGAAACGTACTCAAACCATCTCAACCCAGAACGTTGAGAGAAGAATTCAAACGAGAGCTCGTTTCTCTTCGTCAGATTCCAAATTTCCTTGATTCTTCAGGAGACATGAACGCGCAGTGGCAGATAGTCCAGGATTACGACATCCGCGGCTTATTCCCACGGCGCGATCTTCAGGAGACATGAACGCGCAGTGGCAGATAGTCCAGGATTACGACATCCGCGGCTTATTCCCACGGCGCGACGCGGCAATTATCTTCTTCTTCCGCGGCGCTCTTGTTAACCGTGCCGCTGTGCTCACGCTCTGGGAGGTGGGCTGAGGCAACGTTCCATCGCTAATCGCGATCGTGAGGCCCAATGCCATGCCATTGTCTTCCCGGCGATTCGCTGATATAAAGTCTTGCGATGGACCGCACACTCAGCATGCTTGATTTTTTTGGAGATCAACTACCCTACTCTTACCTGGTCTAAGCTTGGCTGGCTTCATCGCTCCAGGGGTTCCCCCGTCTATTTTCTTCAGCTCACAGTTTCAAGTGTTCTACCTTCCTGCTAGGAGCACCACTCACATCGTGGTTGTGGCCTCCTGAAATCACATTTCTCGATAAAAACATTATCGGTTACCGCTTCCGCCTTCATTGATTGCCGTGGGGTTCCCTTGAGAACATTCTTCGTCGCAGTCATGTCTCGAGCGCTTCTCCTACTCGTCGCGCTATCCGCGTTATTAGCAGCCGCCGCCGGCGCCGCTGCTGCGACTAAGCCTCCCCGCTCAGGCGGGGTCGTTCTGCGCGGCGGGGACGGCAGCGTGACCAGCGGCGCGGCAACAGCTGGCGGGCGCGGCGGGAGCGGCGATTCCCACGCCGTTTCGCATGGCGACTCGCACGACGATTCGCGGCACGGCGGGTTTCCTGGCGGCGGGAGTGACGAAGAGAGGGAGGAGGAGTACGGAGGCCGCGGCGGGCATGGCGGCCCGGGGCATGACAACGACGAGGACGACTCGCCTGCTGATGACGACCACGAGAACGAGCACGAGGGCGAGCATGATACCGAGGATGAGGACGGGGATGACAGCGAGCATGGGGGCAGTAGCAGCAGCCATGGCGGCGGGCTGTGCGGGCGGGGCGGGTGCAGCAACGACTCAGGCGAGGTGGGGTACTGGAAGCTGCCAGACTATGGCCGCTGCTCCATCGGCACTGGCAGCACCAGCGGCAGCGCCAGCAGCAGCAGCAACGGTGGTGGTGCGCCGAGGAAGGCGGACGAGGCGTGGTGTGCGGGGGCGGCAGTGGGCGTGAAGGAGTGCTGCAGCCGATGCACCAGCGTTAATGCCACGGTGGACGGCACGCCCTTCAACTGCCGCCACTGGGTGCACATCCCGTGAGTGCCTCCCCTTCCACCTACCACCTTGCATTGTTATCCGCACACAAATTGTCTTCACATTTCCTGAACCGGTTTGCGCTTTTTTTCCGTGCGCATTTCAGCGTCCCTTTCAAGAACCAATAGACAGTTTCATTCCGCTGGGCACTGGTCTTCCCCTCCCTCCCTCCTCATCTCTCCCAAGCTCTCCAATTCCCCTTCCCTTGCTCCAGGTCTCCCAACTCTCACAGCCGCAGCAGCAGCAGCAGCAGCGAGCAGCGAGGCAAGTGCGTCCTCATCCCGGCCGTGGACGCACTCACGCCCGAGAAGGCCCGCAAGGGGCGGTGCGGCACCAACACGGGCGGCGACACGGTGCGAGTGGGGCGGCGGTGTGCGTGTGGCGAGAACGACCCGCACTTCCTGGGCGCGCACGGCACGCGGTTTGACTTCAACGGGCTGCCCAGGCGCTCCTTCTGCCTCTACACCGACCGCCACGTGCACGTCAACATGGCCATGCGCGGCTATCTGGATCACCGCCCCCTTGCGCTCGCACCCGCTGCTGCTGGGAACCGTAGCACGCTCGCTGCGGCTCGTTTCGTCAACGGTTCGGCGGTTCGCACGTGGATCCGACAGCTGGCGATCATGTGGCACGACGGCGAGAGCAGCAACAGCAGCAGCAGCGGCAGCGGCAGCGATGCTAGTGCCGGCAGCAGCACAAGTGCTCACTCTCTTGTGCTCACGGCACGGGATGGCAAAGAGCAGACTCGTGGCACACAAGGCTTCCTTGCATCCGCCACTCTTGACAACAAGCCTCTCCCGCACCTCACCCTTGGCGAGACCCACGTTCTCTCCAACGGGCGGCTGGTTCTGTCCTTTGTGGGCCAGGAGAAGACCGGCCCGTTTGACGTGGACGTGTACACCCTCCGCCTGAAAAATCTCCTGGAGCTCGAGCTGAAGCTGCGCGCGGCGCACCCTCTGTTGCAAACACCTGAGGACGCGCAGGTGCACATCAACCTGATGTTTGTGGACTCGAATCCGAGCAGCGATGTGCACGGGGTGATGGGGCAGACGTACCGCAGCGGCAGGGAGCAGCGCACCTTGGAGTATTCTAGGCTTGCTGCTTTGCTGCACCACCCCGTGTCAGTGGATGGGGAGGAGGGGAAGGGGTTTCTGGATGGGGAGGTGGGGGATTATGAGACGTCGGGAGTGACTGCTACTGACTGCAGGTTCACTGCTTTTAATGGCGGCCAGCTGCCTGGACAGGCAGAGGAATGAGTAGAAAGGCATGAAACGGGAGTATACTCATGTTGCTGCTATGACTGCGCCAGATCTACCGTAGTTTCCTACACCACATCATTTCTCCTTCGCTTTCCCTCCTAGCTTTTCAGCAACGTGTAGACCTAGGGTTCTCTTGTATCATGGCTGTATTGTATTTGAAGTTCTTGCACGGTATTCTGAAAATGATGCACTTCATGTTTACTTGAACGTAAAGCAAGACAAGAAGCAAGCTCGAGAGCGTGATGCTGGGGATTGGGGAGTGGCGTTGAAGGGGGTGTGTAGGGGGAAGGCAGGCTTGTGGGAAGGCACTTGCGCATATACCCGTCATCACCCGGATATACCCCCAGGTGGGGGTGTAAAAAAACCTGGAAAAATGGTGTGTGGGCTTATAATGTGGTAAATTTTATAACCCCATGGGGTAAATAAATAACACTTATGGAAATCTGATTTTATAACACTGGAATGTAGATTTCACCCTGGCGATTTAAATCGATGCTAACACAAAGAGGATCGCTGCTGAAAAGTTCCGAGAATGTGTCGTACAGTCAAGAATCCCAGTCAGCACCTGCTCAAATGTTGCAGATTTCGCGCACGTGCACTCCCTGTGGCAATTTTGCCAAGCGAGCCAGGGGGGATTTCGTCAGGCACGTCTGTGACGATTCGTTTAGGCGCGTTAGTGGCGATTTCGCTACAAAACAAACCAGAATTCATTGGGTGCGCTTATACGAAGATTGACAGAAATTGGGGTGGGCTTATAATCGGAAACCGGCTATAAGCCCACTAGTACGATTATAACCGCATGGGTGTAACATAGGCCTGGGGTTATATCCGGGTGATGACGGGTAATGGGGGATGACATACGGTACCGGTATTGATAGATTACATCGTATAGAAAATGTATGCTTAGGAGGTAGTTATCAAGCTATCGAAACATTGCCTAAACAGTCTGACTTTCTGCGCTGGCGGTTTCGGCACTTGAGTTACGGTTTTACGGGCCTATTGATACTCGCATTGTTGCACATCCAGTCACGCCATGGTATTCGCTGAACGTTAGCCGACGGAATCTGCAGCACGTAAGGTGACGGAATATGCTGCATGATGGTTGCAGCATGCTAGGCGACAGAGTTTTGTAGAACGTTAGGTTGACGGAATTTGCAAAGGACCTTCGGTTTTGGTTGCGGTATAGATGACGGCGAGTGGGCGAGGGGCAAATCAAGGCGGAATTCGGCGCAGCAATGTAGTTGGCGAAAAAGACGAAGTAAGCTGTGATGGCGAAGAGCAACGAAAACGTGGAAGGTGGTTACCAGTTGGGGGAGGACATCGAGGTACTAGCGCCGATGGTGGAGCGGAGAGGGGGAGGAGGTAAAGGTGAGATGAACCAGGCAGAAGTGGAAAAGGGCGACGGCGGCGGAGGAGGGAGTGAAGCACGCGGAGCAACAGGAGGACTCAAGATGACGTCAGCTGATGACGTCCCCATGTCTGCGGATGACATCAGAATTCCATCCTATGACGTCACGATGTCAGTGGATGACGTCATGGCTCTCCTGTTCTCCCAGGACCCCCTGCTTGCCCGCGCTGCTGCCGTCACTCTCAGCGACGCCCTGCTCTCGCCCGCCCTCTCTGTACGTCGTTCAAGCCCACCCCTTTTCTTAACTCAAGTCAAGTCAACAGAAGTCAACCCAAGTCAACGCAAGTCGCGTACGCTCAGGGTAGCCCTGATCTTCCCCGCCCTCCATTCTGAAGGCGCTTCAGAAGCAGCCTCTGTGTACTTCGTTCGAGGCAGGCATTCATTCTTTAGGAGCTTCAACATTCGTTCGAGGCAATCATAGCATCTGTACGTAGTCCAGGTCAGGTCAGGACAGGACACCCTCCCTCTCAAGTAGACTCAAGTCAGAACCACTCTGACCTGCCATCAGGGGTACCCATTGATTTCCCTTGGATTTTCTTCTGAAAAATACTCTTGAGATGCCCCTCAGGTTTCCCTCAGGATCACCCTGAATGTTATTCACGAAATTACCGTCAGGGTTCCTTTTGAGATTAGCTGGAAAAGAAGATTGTTTCAGGGTCACTCTCTTGGTGGGTCAGTGTCCTTTCCCAGCTCAAGTCGCCCTTAGGGCAGGCAGTTGAATCAACTCACAAGAAGTCGAGTTTTATGGCGGCTCAAAGCTCAAAGCTCAAAGCTCAAAGCTCAAAGCTCAAAGCTCAAAGCTCAAGGCTCAAAGCTCAAAGCTCAAAGCTCAAAGCTCAAAGCTCAAAGCTCAAAGCTCAATGCTCAATGCTCAATGCTCAATGCTCAATGCTCAATGCCCAATGCCCAAAGCCCAAAGCCCAAAGCCCAAAGCCCAAAGCCCAAAGCCCAAAGCCCAAAGCCCAAAGCCCAAAGCCCAAAGCCCAAAGCCCAAAGCCCAAAGCCCAACGCCCAACGCCCAACGCCCAAAGCCCAAAGCCCAAAGCCCAAAGCTCAAAGCTCAAAGCTCAAAGCTCAATGCTCAAAGCTCAAAGCTCACAAATAACCATGCTTCTTCCTGGCTGGCCTTTCTCGTCACCTATCATCGCTGTGTCAGAAGAGTCTGCAGCCAATTCTATTTTCGCCCTTCCATTTTTTTGTCTTGATTTTTGGGTCGACTCGACATCGAGCATCCAATCTGTGTTGTAAAGAGCAGCCCCTTCTCGTCCATTCGTCACTGCATCCCCCCACCTCTTCATCTCGTTTCCCAGTCCGCACCTCTCTCTATCTCCAAACCCCCCTGCTTCCCCCTTGCTTCCCCCTTGCTTGCAGGGCAGCACGCAGCAGCAGCAGCAGTGCTAAACCGTTGCTGGCAGGCCACAGTTTCTGCTGTCGTTGCTGCCACCTCTACTCCCGCTGCCGCTGCCCCTGCACCTGCCACTGCCCCTGCACCTGCCACTGCCCCTGCACCTGCCACTGCCCCTGCACCTGCCACTGCCCCTGCCACTGCCCCTGCCACTGCCCCTGCCACTGCCCCTGCCACTGCCCCTGCCACTGCCCCTGCCACTGCCCCTGCCACTTCCCTTGCCACTGCAACTGCTGCCAGTGCTGCTGCTGCCGGTGCTTACTCCACCCTACGCTGCTCCCCCTCCCCTGCTCTGCGCTTCCTGCTACTCCGCGCCTCTCCTGCTGCCTGCCCGCCCTCCGCGCCTCCGCCTGTGCTCTCCGAGCCAACTCCAAGGTCCACTCCTGCCTGCCCTCCCTCCGTGCCTCCGGTTGTCCCTCCTGAGGCGACTTCAAGGTGCCCTCCTGCCTGCCCTGCTGTGCCGGCTTCAGCAGGGGGAGCGACCGTTGGGGCCAGCAATACTCGATTCACGATTGAACCTCTTCCCTCCTTCACTGCTCTTCGCTCTCATCCCAACATGCCAGTGCCCTGTGCTGCGCTCTCTCTCTTCCACTCACTGCTCAAACGCCGGCCGCACACCGCACCACCACCACACTCCCCTGTGCACCCCTCCTCTGCGCGCCTCTCTTCCCTTGGCCTCTCGGCCGCCCTCGCCCTCCTGCACGCCACGCCATGGCCCTCCCTCTCTCGCCTCTTTGGTTCTGCTGCTTTCAAGGCCCGCTCCTTGCTGCTACAGCAGGGGCGGCAGGGGCAGCAGAGGCAGCAAGGGCAGGGCCAGTCGTTGCAGCATCAGCAGCAGGGGAGACATATTGGGAAACAGCAGGACTCAGATGCAGCAGCAACAGCAGCAGCAGATCTGGCGGTGGGATGGTTGACCCGGCTGCTGTCCGGCTGTGTCAGTGCCATCGCCAACAGCAATGGCACCAGCAGCATTGAGAAGCCTGGTACCAGCAGCAGTATTGAGAAGCATGGAGGTGGTGCAGGTGGAGAGTATGCTGCTGCTGTCATCACGAGGCAGGGTGACGGCACCAGCAGGGAAAGGGGCGATGGGAGCAGCAGCAAGGAGAGTAAGACAGCTTCTGCTGAGCGTGTGCCGGAGGGGGTGTCTTCTGAGACGACTGAAGAGGCATCTACTTCATCAGTGGAAGGCGTGCTGGCAGTGGTGCACACGTGGCTCTCTAACTGCCTCCTCCCCATGCTCGCCCATGCCCCGTCAAGTGCTCCTGGCTCATGCCCACCTGCCCCAGGCCCACATACCTCAAGCGCAGGTCCCAGCCACTCCATGTACCTTCACCATAAATCCCTGGTAATGACTCAGCCGCCCTCCTTTCTCGCCACGCACGCCATTAAGGCTCTTTCTCCCTGTTTCCTGCTCTCGCTGACCCCTTGTTTTTTCTTGTGCTGTGATCTAGTGTGTTGTGATTGTAGGAATTGCAGTTTTCATGAGTTGTCGTCAATCTCTGCTTGCGTTTCATTGCCTCTCGTATATTGCTGTCACTCTTCATTGCTTCTCTCTACTTCACGACAGCCTCTATCCCCTCACCACCCTCACACCCTCTCTTTTCGCCTCTCCCCCTTCCCTTCCCCCGAAGGTTCCTCTCAGAAGCTGCTGCTCCGGTGCGCCCCTCTTTTCCCCTCTTACCCCCCTCTCTCTCACGCCATCATCACCTACCTCTCCGCCCTCCTCCCCCGCACACTCTCTCTCACCGTCTCTCCACACACACCCCCCTGCTGGGTCTTCTACTCTGCTAGACCAGCTTCCGCACTCCATGCAGGTCCCACTCGCACTGCTGCTGTTCCTGCTGCTCCTCCTCCTGTTGCTCCTGCTGCATCTACTGCCGGTTCATCCCCCATGGCTCACTTACTGCGTCTGCAGTTGCTGCTTCTCCTCCACGCCACGCACTTTCTCCTCCCCCACACGCACATCTCGCTCCACCACTTGGCAAACAAGAGTTGCGGGGATAAAACAGGAGCAGTAGGGGCAGGAGCTGTAGGGGGAGAAGAGGGAGGGGGGGAAGGAGGGATGGGAGCGGAAGGGAAAGGAACAGCAAGAAAGGGAGTGGCACGGGGGCCAGGGCAGTGGGCTTGCAAGGGCGGGGAAGGAGGGGAATTGGGGGCTGCAGGGAGCGGTGCAGTTGGTGGTTGTGATGGTTACGGTATTGGTGGTAGATGCAGAGATGGTGGTGATTTTGGTGGCAGTGCTGGTGGTGTGAATGGTGGCATTGGTGGTGCTGGTGGTGGTGGTGGTGTTACTGATTGTAATGGCCGTGGCAGTGTAAATGGAAGCGGAACGGAGGAAGAATCGGCTGTGGAAACGGAGGGTTTGGTTCGCCAGTCTTTGGAGCTTCTGCAGCGAGGCATGGCAGCAGGTAGGTTTGCAGTACAGTGTTTTTAATAAGGGTGCTTCTGTGCTCAAAAGGAAGCTTCAAGTTCCTATACAAGAACTTAGCGAATCTAAAGTACAGTGTAGCGCTTCTGTGTTCAGATTTTGAGTAGCATTGACGCTGAGCGCATCAAATGGGTCCATTGTCGCTGAGCTGTCGTCATTTTCTGCAGAAATCATCTGTGCCCAGATGATGCGCTTCATATACCCTATGCGCCCGCCCACCCCTTATGCCTTCTGCTCCCTCGCTCTTTTCCTATGCCATATGCTTTACCCTCACCCTCCTACCCTCCCTGCAGCTGCTTCGCTCACAACCCCTCACTCTCAAACATCATCACCATCAGCATCAGCATCATGGGGCATTGGAGCTCGCCCGTCGCACCTGTCTCTGCCGCCCATTGTGGAGCTGCTCTCACACGAGGTCAGCATGGGGGCTTGCCTTGCCTCACTTTGACTCACTCTGACTCTCCTTGACTCGCCTTGGCTCGCCTTGACTCGCCTTGACTCCCCTTGACACGCCTTGACTCTCATTGACTCGCTTGCATAACTGCCATACGTTTTTTTCTCTCCTGGTCAGTAAGTCAGACCTCCTTATTACTTGCAATGAACCGTGAGGAGCCGTTCCATTGCTCACTGTTCATCGAAAGTAACGAATAGGTATAACTTTCAATTCTCTCAATGTTCACTGTCCATACTCACACTACACTGCTTTCTCTCCCCCCATCCTGACCACAGGATGCCATACTGATGGGTGCCTTGCCACTTTTGAGGCGCCTCAAAAGTTTTCTCTCTCCCCATCCTGACCACAGGATGCCATACTGATGGGTGCCGTGCCACTCCTAGTCAGTCAGATAGGCCTCCTCCTTGCGGATGTAAATCAACATAGTAATGCAATGGACTGCCAACACTGCTGTCTCTCGCCTCCCCCATCTCTCCCACAGGATGATGTTCTGCTGGACGGTTTGTCGCTCCTTGCGTCCATATCAAATCGAATCAAGTGCCTCTCAGCACTCAAGCAATCTAAAGGTTTATCAGCGGCAGCACGTGAGTCGAAAGTGCCTGAGGCGGTTTCTGCAGTAATTCCAGCAGCAGCAGCAGCAGCGGCACCATTCGCAGCAGAACGGGCTGCAGAGGCAGCAGTGGGAGCAGAGGCAGCAGCGGCAGTAGAAGAGGTAGCAGAGGGAGCAGAGGCAGCAGCGGCAGTAGAAGAGGTAGCAGAGGGAGCAGAGGCAGCAGCGGCAGCAGAGGCAGCAGAGGAGGCAGCACCTAGGGAGGGGAACATTTTGCAGGGCTGGTTGGAGGCATTGAGGGAGGGGGACATCCTGGGCTGTTGGTTGCAGCAGATGGGGTATGATGTCATGGCTGTTGTTGACCTTCTCATGCAGCCCACCACTGCACCCTCCTGCCTTCGCCTGCTGCTGCTGTAAGTGCCGCTTGCTGTTACTGTGAATGTTGAGTGCTGCTGCTGCTGCTGTGAGTGCTCCTGTGCGTGGCTCTTGGCATGCTGGTTGCAGCAGATGGAGCATGACGCCACGGCTGTCGTTGACCTGCTCATGCAGCCCTCCACTGCACCCTCCTGCCTTCGCCTGCTGCTGCTGTAAGTGCCGCTTGCTGCTGCGAGTGCTGCTGCTGTGAGTGCCGCTTGCTGCTGCGAGTGCTGCTGCTGTGAGTGCCGCTTGCTGCTGTGAATGCTGCTACTGTGATTGTCGCTTGCTGCAGTGAGTGCTGCAGCCGTGAGTCCTGGTCACTTGTGCCCACTAGCAGTACTTTATGGTTTGTGAGCATCACATGCTTGTACTTCTTCTGTGCCTGGCTCTTGTGCAGAATACCCTCCCCACTCCACCCCACACTCTTTCACTCCTCCTCACCGCAACCTCCCCCCGCTCTTTCTTCGCATCTGCTGCCCCTTCCCACTCTCCCGCGCACAGGTGCCTGCCTGCAGCAGCTGCCACGTGGAAGCGCAGGATTGGTCATGCGTTGTGGGTAGAGTGTGTAGGGTCAGCTTCAAGAGAAGTGGCGGAGCAGTCAGAGAGTGAAAGTGAGAGAGGTCAGAGCGACCAAATAGGAGGGAGTGAGGAAGGAGGATGGAGCGAGGGCGAGGGAAAGGGAGAGGGAGAAGAATCGAGTGAGGGAGAGGGAGAACAACGTAGGAGAGGGGCAGAGGTAAAGGGTGGGGTGAGTGCTGAGGAGTGCAGAAAAGAGGGAGAGGAGGAGAGATGGGGGATTCGAAAGACATTCAAACGGCAGCTGGAGGAGCAGGAGGAGGGGAGGGGGAGGAGAGTGAGAAAGAGGAGGATGGAGAAAGTGGGGTGTGGTGGTGATGACGTGGAATGGTGGCGTGATATGACTAATGGTTGGAGGAAGGAAGGGAAGGTGGAGGGAGGAGAGGACGAGGAAGAGAGGGAGGAAGAGGAAACGGACCAAGAAGATGAGGAGGAGAAAGAGGAGGAAGAGGAGGAAGCGGAGGGAGAGGAGGAAGAGGAGGAAGAGGAGGAAGAGGAGGAAGAGGAGGAAGAGGATGACATGAAAATGGATGAAATGGGGCTGACCCATGTTGCTGTAGTCACGCCATCTACAGTCACGTGTTCCCCAGCAGGGCTATCACATTCTGCACTGGTGGATTCTCTCCGGTGTCTCACTCAGCTGCACACACGACTCGCTCGCCTGCAGCACCTGGGGCTGTTCCCCTACAACGTGCAGCCACTGCTGACCAGGTGATAACAACAGAAGCTCCTTGCCCAGGTGAGGCGAGCAGCTGATCAGGTGAGATAAGTTGTACGGTACTTTTATAGGCATCCATATCAAAGTGACCTTCAACCCAAAAGCCACCCCGAAGAGACTGCGTGCTTGAAGCTTGTATATTTCTTATTCTTAATATTCTACTTCCTCTGCTTTTGTGTTTTCCCTCCTGCTGACTACCCCCCTTTTACACTTTTCCAAACCAAACAGGTTATGCGAATTTCTGTATTAACAGCAGTGAAACGGTACTGGTTCAAGTGATGTATGGCACACAATCTCAATGTCTGCCCAATGGCAGCTTTGCTTTTTAATGTATGGTACTTGTAATGTACAGTACGTACAAACTGTCTAAAAAGAGCTATCGAAAGTGAGATGTACCGCCACTGACCTGCTAAAAAGGGGTAGCTTGGCAATTGTTATTTTATATCATTGTTGTTCAATATGTGTGACGCCCTACAAGACCAACACATTAGAGGGGAACGTGAGGGGCGTGTGAGCCTAAACGCAGACAGGAAGAGGAACCGAAGGGAACACGGGGGAGAGGCGGAATGGAGGTGTGGGTGGGTATGGGAGGGGGGCTTGTACAGGTCAGTCAGGGAGGATAATCTGCTGAGTTGCGTGAATGGAGAAACATTAAAACGTTAAAACACCAATTCCTAGGAACAATAATGATAGTGGGGGAAGAACGGTTGAGTTAGGAACTCCTAAAGGTGGCAGGTCACTTTTGTCATAAATCTGTACAACCCGAGGTGCTTCTCCACCATTCGTACGAATACCTAAAACAGCATGTCCATCATGCAACAACAGCAAATGCAAGCCATCCTGCACAAAAGAGCGCAAACGAAGAGGCGAGACATCAATCACGGGTCCTCGTCGCGAACGATTGGAGCCTAAAATTGACCAAGTCAGCAACGCCATGCGAAACTAACAAGAGCGTAATCTACTTACAGAGCAGCGCAGCAATCAGCACCATCGGGGCCGTCTCTCTTCTGCACGACGACTGTCTGATGTGGGGGAGGTGGGTGGTGTCCTTGCGGAGGATACCCTTGAGGAGGATATCCCTGAGGAGGGTATCCCTGAGGCGGATATCCAGGCTGTGGGGGATATCCCTGAGGAGGAGGAGGAGGATATCCCTGAGGAGGGTATCCCTGGGGAGGATAACCCTGTGGAGGGTAACCCTGAGGTGGGTAACCTTGAGGAGGCGGCGGGTATCCTTGAGGAGGTGGAGGATAGCCACCAGGTGGTGGTGGATAGCCTGAAAATTGATTGGAAATAACAAAATCGTAAGCACCAGAGCTACAGTTCAACTAAAGAGCTAATGACAATGACGGACGGTGTGGACACGGATGTCAGGTAGCTTTGTCACCTTGAGCGGGAGGCGCTCCGACGGGTGGAGCTTTATCCGCCGTGCCTGCTAATGATTTTTGCGTAACGACTCTGAGATCTGAAGTTCCTAACTCGTTAGTAATCAAAAGGTATGTGCTCCAAAAAGGAAGGAGATCACAACAGCGGAATAATGAGCAATACTGCTGCTGGCGTTGGTAAAGTAATAAACTGAAACTACAGACAAACACGCTGAGCTTTGTTCAAAGATTCAGTCCGGCCTGGAACTAGAACCTGCCGAAAGCGGCAACAAGAATGGATCCCTGAAGTCAGTTTCGGGAGACACACTGAATTTTGTCAACGGCAACGTCGCGAGTGCTTATAAAGAATGCTTTCGGAAATGGTGGGGGGGCAAGAGGGGGCAGTGACGTGCTTCCCGTGCCAACGAGCTCACCGCCACGTAGCTGTCTACAAAATTATCCCGATGTACCCTCGATAAAGGGAGGAGGGGGGTGGACGAACCAGAGCAGAGAGTGTGGGCGACGCGATGCGACGCGAAGGGGGCATCGGTTGATGCCTGACAGCTCATGTCATGAGCCCCTTCAAAGTGCTGCTCACTTCGCACAAGCCGCATTCAAAGAGTACCCGTTTCCAGCCATGCGGTGTTCTAGCATCCAATTACGGCATAAAGCTCACAAAAACTGCGGTTTGGAAACTTCATAATTATTTTTACAAACTATATTGGGCAATTGTCTACCGTCAATCCAATTTTGGCTGGTACTATATCCTCAAGTAACGATTCCGAGCTCGTTGCTAGAGTGTTGCTTTACATTGAACAAATTTATCATTAGTATTGTAGTCGGGACTATGGGGGCGTTGGCATTCAAGGAATGGATCCTTACAACTTCAGCTAACTTGTTGCTGGCCCAAGACACAAAAGCTCTATCTAGTAAATGCATGGATGTTCATACACAAGAGCGCAGGAACAATATCAGTGGAAAAGACAAGCCAAACAAGTCAATATCCTTCTTGTGTTTTCACCCTTAGTATCCTATTTAAACATTACTGCTGCAGGGAAATGACCCGCATGAGCTTCCCCTTGCCCTGCTGCCCCGTCTGGTTGGCAAACCGCCCACTTATCTGCCCGTGCAGCTCGTTGCGCTGCCGAGCTAGCGCTGCTCGCCGAGCCTGAAGGGTCTCGAACACAGCCTGCCAGTTGGGTACGGTATGCGTGAAGTTCATTTAGAGATCGATAGAATAGTTCAAAGCAGGATTCTGAGTTACAGAGTGAGAGGGTGAGTGAGAGCTGCAAGGTACACAGCACCAGTATCCACCCACCCACCCACCTATACCACCTGTACCCACCTGCACCTCCTGCTCACTAGTCCTCTCACCCTTCCATCCGTCATCTACATTCTCTCATCACCAGTGCTTGATCTCCACCACTTGGATTCTCTCCCTGACCCCTTCAACCACAGTTGCCTCGGCTCTCACACATCCATTCACTCAAACGCACTGTTCTTCCCCCTTCCCCCACCTCCTCCCCTCTCCCCTCTCCCCCCCCTCCTTGAACTTGCACTCCAACAGGTCAATCACCTACGTTCTGACAAACCTAATTCAATATAACACCCATCCCCGACATCACCCACCTCCCTGAACTCGCGCTCCAGCGGGTCAAACACCTCCACCCGGACACACCTATCCAACCACAAACCACCGTTTCTCCCCTCACCGCACTGCACCCCTCCTCACCTGCATCCTCTCCTTGAACGCGCGCTCCAGCGGGTCAAACACCTCGGCCACCTTGGCCTCGGCTGAGAAGGCCTGCGGCAGCAGCTCTGCAAAGCGCCGCAGCGTGCCCGCCTCCTCCTGATGTGTGGGGAAGAGGACGCGAGAGGGGGTGAAGTGGGGGAAGAGGGGTGACAGAGGGGAGTGTCAGGTGAGAAACAGAAAACAGCATTGTTCCCCGATCTCGTTGCGATATGTTGTTACCTTGAGCCAGCAGCTTCCTGAATTCGCTCAGTCTGCTTTCTTTTCAAAAAAATCCTCTGACCTCAACTTTGGCTCATGAGCTGCTGCATCGTCACCCTCTCAAGCTTCTCACACACACGGCCAGCAAAATCTGCCTCTACTGCACTACATCCTGCCGTGCCCTCTGGTAGCACTACATCCTGCCGTGCCCTCTGGTAGCACTACATCCTGCCGTGCCCTCTGGTAGCACTACATCCTGCCGTGCCCTCTGCTGCCGCCTGAGCATCTCTCCTTAAGCAGTCTATTAGATAATTACAAGTTAATTCCCTGGATTTATCTCACCTTGACCTTGGCTGCGAGCTGCTGCATCATCTCTGGCGTCGGCTCGCTCTCAAAGTCGGTCACTGCCAGCAGAATCTGCAATCGCCGCTATTCCGGGTGAAGGGACGGCAGAGAGGGCAGCGAGGGGACAGAGAGGGCAGGAGAGGGTTCAAACAGAAACAAGGTTACACTGGCTGTCCAAGGATGTACGAGAGGCACTGACAGGCTTATATCGAGTACGAGATGCTGTAGAAGGGAAACTACAAGGCAGCAAACAGAACAGCAAGCGGCAGCAGCAGCACCTTTTGGATGGACGTGGCGGCAGCAGCGACGATCTCATGCGCGTCTCCCAGCACTGTCTGCAGGGCGTCCTTTGCTGCCGATGCTATCTGCTTCACATGCGACGCCTGTGCATCATTGGGAGTTGGAGAGACAGACAAAGGCAAACATGCGGGGCATAAGGCGGAGTCAGGGAGGCACTTGTAGCATGGACACGCACAGCACAGCACAGCACCGCACGCACCTGGGCAGCGTGGCAGCCGCGGTAGAACCCCATCTCCTCCTGCAGCCCAGACATCTCCGCCCGCCACAGCGCCTCCACCTTGCGACACCTCCCCACCACCTCCGCCACCCGCGCCTGCACCTCCCCCTCCCCTCCGCCCCCCACCCCTCCCCCAAACCCTCCCCCCTCTCCCACAATCCCCGCAAGCCCTGCACTCAGCAGCTGTTCCACTGAAGGGAGGTCTGCCACACTCACTCCCTCCCTCCTCCTCCTCTCCCTCTCCCACTCCAGCCGCTGCTGCACCTCCATCATCTCCCCCTCTCCCCCTCCTCCTCCCTCCTCTGTTCCTGCCGCCCTGGCGGCTGCTGCTGCCAGCATCAGGCTCTCTTCTGTTCCCACGCCGAATAGCTGCGCGCCAGCTGGCACGAGCGCCGCCAGCTCGGAGAGCGCGCGCGTGGTGTCGTACACGTCAGCAATGGCGACGCGAATCTCCTGAAGCACTGCGCTGGACGTCTGCGGCCGGCAGAGAGGAGGAGGGGGGAGCAGCAGAGAGGGTTAGAAGACGAAGGCGAGAGAGGAGCAGCTGTCAGGGTGGGGAGAGAGGAAGGGGAGAAGAGGGAGGGGCGTAACGAGGGAATGCGAGGACAAGTCAAGCATTCCAGACAACGTTAATTGAAAGTCGCTGCGAGTATTGAATTGCGCAGCAGCGCAAACCGCCAACCATGGCATCGCATCGCGTCGCACCTCGGCGGGCAGGCTGGGGAAGACGACATTATCGAGGAGCGACGAGAGCGCGAGCAGGCGTGGATGCAGGTCCGCCAGGCGCCCCTCCAGCTCGTGCACGCGCGCGTACTCCAGCAGCGGCGCGGACCCTGGGGAATGGGGATGGGAAAGGGGGAAAAGAACGTGGTGGGGGGGGGGGCGGGGTGAGGAGAGGCGCACGAGAAGGAGAGAGAAAAGGAATAACCACTTTCTCGAATCCTTCGCTCGTTTTGGAAATCGAGGAATATGAAGGGAGGGGTGGGGGGGGAAAAGGAGGCAACGGCACAAAGACTAGTAAGGGAGAGGGCAGCGAACCTTCGATGGAGCGGCAGAGGTTCGCCGCGATCCCCGCGACGGGGTCGCCGTCCTCATTGGTCGCCATGAATCGGTTCCCCGCGCACGGCAGCTCCGGCGCGCCCATCGCCTTCATGCTCGTCTTCTCCGCCCCGCCCGCCGCTCCTCCCGCCTCTTCCGCGTCCTCTGCCTTCTGTGCGCCTTCCTCCGCGGGCAGCTCGCCGATCTTTCCGCCCGGCGCGGGCAGCAGCATCAAAACCTTTTCGCGTGCCTCTTTGCTCCACATCGCGAGCTCCTCGAGCTTTTCCTTCGCGATCGCCACCTGTCCCGACGCCGCCAGCAGGCTGCCAAGTGTCGGCGCGGGAGTGGCTGCCGCGGCCGACGCGGCGAACGGGCTCCCCGCGGGAGTGCTCCCCGCGCGCGGCGTGCCCATAGGCGTGGAGACAGCAGATGATGTGACTATAGAGGGGTCGAGAACCAGCGGCCCGTCTTTCATGCTCGCGCTGCGGCTTCCCGCAGAGGTCAAATCCATGCCGCCGTCTCCGTCATTCGCGGCGCCGGATGCGGCGGTCTTCTTGTCCGCGGTTTTATTGTTTGCGCCGTTCCGCTTCCCCGGGCCGACTCCCCACCCGCGCGCATTGAAGCTTCCGCCACCGGTCTTCCCCTTCCCCGCGCTGCCCGCCGCCGCGCCACCGCGCCGTGCGCCCACCGTGGGCGACGCGCTACCCTTTCCGGCGGAGGACGTTGCGCGCGGGGTCGTGGCACGTGGAGAGCCGCTAGCGAACGACGAGGTGCCGCGGCTGGTGGGGGTGCTGGGGCGGGCGGCGGAGGCGAGGGCGGCGGAGCCGCGTCCCCCGAACGAGTTCCGCCGCGTCAGCGGCTGCTGCGCCGCGCCCACCTTGCTCACCCCCTTCGCCACCGCCGCCGCCGCGACCGCTTCGCCTGCGCTCCCCTTCTCCTCCTGCGCTGCGGCGTGCTGCGCGTCCTCCAATAAGATCGCGGCAGCTGGCAGCAGTGTCTGGTCCAGAGTCCCCGCGTGCGAGTTCCCCATCTCCGCCCCACCCGCGCCCTCCGCGGCTTCTCCTTCCGCCTGCTCCCCTTCGGCCTCATCCTCCCCCGCGCGCACGTGCAACGCGCCGACGGTGCGGTGGAGATGGTCCATTGCGCTCAGCAGCTCGTTGCGAATCGCCTTCGCCGTGAGTGAAGCGGACTCGGAGGCTAGCAGCTGTTAGGGGGGAAGCGGAGGGGGAGCGCGGGGGTAAGGGGAAGGGGGAGCACAGGGTTAAGGGCGGTGAAGTTGGTCCATGGCGCTCAGCAGCTCTTTGCGGATGGCCTTGGCGGTCAGCGACGCAGACTCGGACGCAAGCAGCTGTGGGAGGGAGGGGAAGGCGGAAAAAGGGGGAGGGGGAAAAGTGGGGAGCGGGAAAAGGGGAAAGGGGAAAAGTGGGGAAGGGGGAATTCGTGTCTATGGCGCCCAGCAGCTCGTTGCGGAGGGGGCCGAGGGAATGCACCTGGTAAAAACACCCTTCAGCAAGGTAAAAACACCCTTGAGCAAGGCAGAGCGCTGGAAGCGACATAGTCAGCGATGCATAGGCGATATAAGCGGTATACGCGATAAAAAGAAATGCAAGCGATGTACGCGTGCGTGCTCACCTGGTGTTCGAGCTGCAGGTTTGACGACTTGAGCATTCGCACGCGATGGCGCCCCAAGTCGTCGCCCTCCTCCGCCTCCTGCGACACGTGCGACAGATGCGACACGTGCGACGGGGATCACGCAGGGGAGGGACAGTGGAACGAGGTAAGTGAGTTTGCGCCAAGTCGTCGGGCTCCTTCACGGCCCGCGGAGTGGCAAGGCGACGGAACGGAGGGGCGGGGAGACGACGGAAGCGGTGAGTCGACGGAAGCGGAGAGTCGACGGAAGCGGAATAAAGGGGGAACAAGGTAGGAACGCCCGCAAGGAGGATGGAAAAAAACGTCTTCACGACCAGGAGAAGCTTTTCCTCCTTGTTATCTTCGTCCAGCAAGCACTCGGTACTCTCACCTACACTCCTACCCTTCCCCTTCCTCCTCCAGTTTCCCTGTGCCCCTACTGTTCCCCCCCTCGAACCCCCCCTCCCCCCAACCCTCACCATTCACCCCCCCGCGCGCACCTCTGCGTGAACGGCTTCCAGCATCGCGATCCTCTCCCTCAGCCGTCGATTCTCCTCCTGCAGCTGCTTCGTCTGCACACACGCGCCGTTGGATGGAATGTACGGACAAGGGGTCAGCGCGTGAGACGGGCCCGGTAGCACCGCACTGCATGCTATGGCACAGAGTGGCATTTTCTGTATGGAATGAGAAACGTGTTGGCGACCGGAAGTATCCAGCTGGACTCACCACTTCTGATTGCTTCTGTCGAGGTTCGGAAGGGTCGATGGAAGAAGGAAGGAGGTTGCGCGTTGCCAGGAGAAGCAGGTTCGGTAGGTCATACGGGTGGACGCACAGAGGGGAGCAGGGAATATGGACAGGAGTGGGTTGAGAGAGAAGGACAGGGACGAACCGAGAAATTAGTAAGAAACGCACAGCAGCTGACGGGTCACAGCGACAGCAACGAAGACAGAACTCGGAGTTCGAAAAACACGAAAAGCGCGAGAACGCGTGACGAGAGGATGCAGAATGCAAGTCAGGGAGTAAAATGGAGTCAATGGAGACAGAATGCAATGCATAATGCACACGCAGACCGCGTTACCTCTGAACCATACGATCCCATGAAGGGCTGCAGTACGATGGGAATCGACGCCTGGTCTGATTGCTTGGAGAACTCATCGTCGGACTGCCATCAGAGGCGGAGGGTGGGGCACAAGGAGGGGAGAACGAGAGAAGAGAGCAAATGAGTTACGTATCAACCACTGTCAGCAAATAATGACAGCATTTGTCTGGCTACGTGACAGGGGGGGAACTCAACATGCACCGTGGACAGGTATCGTGCTACGGCGTTGCACTATCTCCGTCGCCTAGTTTCAGGACGCATATATATATATGTCTCATAAATCTGTTTCTATATGCGCTGTCCATGTCCTCAATGCGAAACCATCCGGATGAAGCTTCTCGGTGAACCTAGCGGCACCACTCCCACATCTCTCAGTTTATATGGCTCCGGTCTAGACTCGGCTGCGATTAAAGCCACCTGAAGGGGCGCCACGGACGACTTGGACTTGGCGAGCGACCCGCCCTTTGCGCCCAGCGTCCTCCCAACGCGCGCCGCCGCGCGCCCAAGCGTGGATGCTACGGACGACCCCTTGCCCTTCTTCACGCCTCCGCCCGTGGACTGCGATCGGCGCGTCTTTCCCCCGGCGGATTTTTCGTCCTCGCCGGCTTTCGCGACAGTGAGCGGGTTACTCGGGTGCGTGGCGCCGAGGTGCGAGTACCGTCGGATGATGTTGCTGTAATCGGACGGCTTGAAATCCTCCGCCGCGTTGAGCATGGCGTTTGCGTGGATGGCGTCGTGAAATTCTTCCTCGTCGGCCGGCATCGGATGACTTCCCGCCATATCTCCTGGCGTATTACTACTTCTCAAAAAACGAAGCTGAAGTGTATACTATGGCGTTCTCTTTTTGGTTTAGCTCTCTAAATGGGTTTTGTGATGTCAAGAAAATATAGGTATGGTTCTAATCAGAACTGCCAGAACTGGTGCTTTAGGGATTCGGATATCTAAGGCGGTCCTAGCTTCTTGACTTTGCAGCGGGTTCAAGACTCGAAAGTCCCGGATTGCAAGGACACCTCAACCTCGGTAATCTCGTGCAAGGCGGATGATTGCAAAGTGGAGCACAAGCTTTGGAAGTCTATGGAGGAATGTGGCGCAAAGCAAGCCAACGGATATTTGCCAAGAGACGGCGGTTGCATGGGAAGGTGTTGCATCTGGTTCAAACTGAAAGAGAAACGTGTTGACCGAAGCTCAAAGATATCGGTTACGTTCGGTTGCGAGTGCTAGTAGTACGGTGCTTCTATACAGACAGCTCTGAGTCTAGTTCTCCACACCCACGATCTCTCACTGCAGGCAATCCGAAAATCCATGTCACGTTTGCCCAGCGCTGGCGGCTTGTCAGTGGAATTTTGGAATGCGCGCCGCGGCGTCCGTTGCTTCAGTTCGGACGTGTCGCTCGATCGAAGGTGGGCGCGTGGCGGGACTGGTTTTGTCAGCCGAACCGCACGATTTCCTAACAATCAGGCCAGCCGCAATGTGCGGGACTTTCAAGGGTGCTTTTGGTGCTTGCGTAGCATTTCCATGTGGCTTGGATTGGTCAAACCACCGGAATTATGAGATCCTCATTACGAGCACACGCGTTTCCAGATTGGAACGGGCCCGTTCACAGTTTTGCTGTAGCGTACACGAGATACCGTACGCGAGATGCCATACACAATATAATACCAGTGGAGTTGCTACATCATGTTACACCGCATTCTGAAAGCCATGGATCATCAAAATTGACGTACTTAGTCCAGAGGCTCCGATACTTCGGCAAGGCAATCTTCAGCCATGGCTTCTGGTTACCATTCCAGTGTATAACCGCTGCCTTCGAAATAGCTGTCATGTCCAAGTGGGGATTGTAACCAAGCCCCAGGACATGCCATGATGGATCAATGGCATGTGTAAGCCCGTTGAAGGCCAACAAGCCTGGCGGTAGCGTTCCCAGCTTCCATAATGAATGGTCAACGTTCTGCAAGCAAATGCCAAAATAACCCCAAAAGAAAAACATGACATTTGAGGGTATCAGACAGACAAAAAGCTGGTATATGGCATATGCCTTTGAAGCTACCAGGCCACAAGGTTCCATGCGTCCTTTCTCCCCCTCCCCCCTTCACCTGCTCTTGCCAGTAGTGCTACGTTGTAGTCACATTGGTGTGCCGCCAACGGTTCAGGTCAAACAGGTTCAGGTCAAACAGGTTCATGCCATACCCCACTGAAAAAACCTCACAACACAGCCCCACCACCTCCCCCACCACAAATGCCTTCCTCCTTTCCTCCTTCTTCCCTGTTCCTTCCGGATGCTCACCTGCTCCTGCCAGTAGTGGTAAGTGGCAGTCACATTGGCCCGACGCCACCCGTCCAGGTCGAACACGTTCATGCCGTACGCCCACGCACACCCCTCGGGGTCAAAGCGCCCTCTCAGCCGCGTGTCGGAGAAGTTGAGGTAGCGGTGGAAGCGGTGGAACGACCCCTTGCACGTCTCCACTGCTCCGTTCACAGCACTGATGGTGGAAGGGGGGATAATTGAGGGGGAAAGAGGCCAATGGAGGGGGAGGGCGGGAATGTTGAGGTAGCGGTGGAAGCGGTGGAACGACCCCTTGCACGTCTCCACTGCTCCGTTCACAGCACTGAGACAGGGGGGTAAGGTGGGGCCAAAAGCATTAGTTAGATGCTTGAGCCACGTGGGTGTGAAATTGAGGTGTCGGTGAAAGCGGTGGAAGGACCCCTTGCATATCTCCACTGCACTGTTCACAGCGCTGGTGGTGGAGGGGAGAGGGTAGGCCAAGTTCAGTCCAACCTGCATTGAGGTGGATAAAGTGTAATACTTGAGGGCAGCTTAATAGAGAATTCGCCTGCTTTTACAGTTTGCACATGCAACATAGAGCTAAGGTCACCTGCTCAATACGACGACGACGGCGACGAGAAAGCACCCGCTTATCGAGACAATGCAGTGCAGCGCGGGGATGAGGAAAAAGGTTTTGCTGAACGATGACATCGTCGTCGAGAAAGAGAATGCAGTGAGGAGGAAAGGGAGTGCAGAAACAAAGCAGGTAAGGGCGGAACCCACCCGTTCATGTCGAGAGAGAAGAGGGCGGAGAGGTCTCTTTGCATGACGACGTCGTCGTCGAGAGAGAGAGGATGCGGTGCAGCGCGGGGAAGAAGAGAAGGGAGTGCCGATGAGAGCACCACAAGAGAGTACCATGAGTGTTGATTGGAGAAACATACGGACAGCACGCACCCATTCATGTCGAGGGAATAAAGATCAGAGAGGTCCCTCTGCACGATGACGTCGTCGTCGAGGAAGAGGATGCGGTGCAGCGCGGGGAAGAGGAGCGGCAGGTAGAAGCGCAGGTGGTTCAGCAGCGACATGTACTTGGGGTTGCGGAACTTTATGGGGTCGCTGCCCTCGCCCTGCGGGTTGGGGGGTGCGGGATGTGAGTTGTGTGTGTGTGGGGGGTGTGGAAAGAAGGGGGGAGCGAGTTATTGGAAAGCGGGATGGGGAAAGGAAGATTCAGAAGCGACATGTACTTGGGGTTGCGGAACTTGATGGGGTCGCTGCCCTCGCCCTGTGGGGGGTAGAAGGAGGGGGGGTGGGTGTGTGCGTGTGGGTGTGCGCAACTGAAAGAGAGTGGAATGGTTGATTCAATAATGACAGACACCACGTGTGTGGTGGTGGGCAACCCCAACCTCACCAATTCCGCTGGTGGGCAACCCCAACCTCACCAATTCCGCTGGTGGGCAACCCCAACCTCACCAATTCCGCTGGTGGGCAACCCCAACCTCACCAATTCCGCTGGTGGGCAACCCCAACCTCACCAATTCCAAGACCCCCATCACCCCCCGACACCTCCCATCATTCCCCATAACCCCCAGTACCCCCCATCACCCTGCATCACCTTCAGCAGAGCCCCCTCCCTCCGCCTTGTGCACTCACAGCAGCAGCAAAAACGGACAAGTAGAAGCTCTAGGCACCTGCTTCCTGCATTTGCCGTGGCATCCCCAATGCCCACATCTCCACCACCCACAACACAGCCCGCTTCCCTCCCCCTCCCCCTCTCCCTCCCCATACCCTTTTCCACCAGCCCTTCCCCCCTGCACTCACAGCAGCAGCAGCGGAAAGGAAAAGTAGAAGCTCTTGGCATGTGCATCCTGCATCTGCCGCAGCACCCCCAATGCCGTCAGTCCCAGCAACATCTCCCCCACCCACAACACAGCCCCCGTTGCCTCCCCTCCTCCCTTTTGACTCACGGCAGCAGCAGTGGAGAAGTAGAAACTCTTGGCGTGGGCGTCCTGCATCTGCCTCAGCACGGGCGCAAAAGACGCGTTCAGCCACCCGCTCTCGCCCTCCACCCGCCGAACCTCTAGTGATGCCGAGCCGGGTGGGTGGCGGGAAAACCACACCTGGAGGGGGGACGATGTGGAAGACCAGGCGGGAAGGGTGGCGTATCAGAGCAAGAGACACCAGCAGACAGCACCATCGACGAATACATATCCCGAGTTAAAAAGAGGCAGCCTCGCCACGAAGGCAGTCTCGGTAGTCTCACCACGAAGGCAGTCTCGGCAGTCTCACCACGAAGGCAGTCTCGGCAGTCTCGGCAGTCTCACCACGAAGGCAGTCTCGGCAGTCTCGGCAGACTCACCACGAAGGCAGGGAAGGAGGTGGCGTCGGTGACGATGTGGAAGACTAGACGCGAGGGGTCATGGGAGGAGAGCACGGTGGAGTTGAGGGCAGCAGACACGGCCAGCACGTTGTCACTGAAGATACACGCGTGCTGCAGCGAGGTGTCCACCAGACGAGAGCTGTTGGGGGCGCCTGGGGACTGTGTGTGGTGGCAGGGGTGGGGATGGCAGACAACAGAGACAACAAGATGCAAAACGATTTTGTTTTCAAGACAACAGAGCATATTGTTATTGGGAGAGCAGCAGAGAGGGCCAGTACGGTCCCTGAAGCACACATAGCAGGTAGGTGCTGCAGCTAGGTGTCGATTAAGTGAGAGTTGTTGGGGAAGACTGGCGGCTGGGAGAAGGACCAAGAAGACAAAGAAGAGCAGAGGGGTAAGTGATGGTTTGAGGGCAGTAGGACCAAGGATAGAAAGGCGAAATGGTGTGCAGTGCACGTTGCTGCTGAATAACAGGCTCACCACGCATGCACTGCTCACGACCAGGTGCAGCACTGCTGGGTGTGACACTTCTAGGTGTGGTGTGGCACTGCGAAGTGTAAAGAGGGGCATGTGGAACGCACCAGGCCGTGGTGTATTTGGAAGGGGTGAGTGGCCTCGTCCATCCCGCCATGGGCCGTAGAGGAGTGCTCTAGAGCCCACTCCCTGGCCAGCCGCATGTACAGACACGTCATGGGCTTGGGCATCGACTCTGATACCACCTGGAGGGGGGATTGAGGGGTGCAGTGCGGTGAAGCATGGTGGTGAAAGGTGCCGCAGATAGACGCGGGTACAGGCTCGTCATGGGCCGTAGACGGGTGCATGAGAGCCCACTCCCTGGCCAGCCGCATGTACAGACACGTCATGGGCTTGGGCATTGACTCTGATACCACCTGGAGGGGGGATTGAGGGGTGCAGTGCGGTGAAGCATGGTGGTGAAAGGTGCCGCAGATAGACGCGGGTACAGGCTCGTCATGGGCCGTAGACGGGTGCAGGAGAGCCCACTCCCTGGCCAGCCGCATGTAGAGACACGTCATGGGCTTGGGCATTGACTCTGATACCACCTGGAGGTGGGATGGAGGAGTGGAGTGCGGTGAACAGCAGCGAATTCATACATGGCGCTTGGGAGATAGATGCAAACATAGGCGGGCCCCGATGGATGGACACAACGTATGGATTGATCCCAACTCAACTTTAAAGTCACCAGAATGCACCTGAGAGGCGAGAGTGGCCTGCGCTGATGCCTTGGAGGCCTTCTCTTCTGCCTTGGCCACTTTCTCCTTCAGCGCTGCCATTGCCGCCGCTCTGACCAGTGCGACAGGGGTGGAGGGGTGAGGGCAGTATGAAGTTGCGTGTTGAGGCGCTTCAGAACAGGGAAGTACACTCTTGAGCTTTGAGACATCTCTGAACAGGAGCTTTTGAATTATAAAATTTAAACGTTTGAAACCAGGGAAGCATACTCACAGCACCACTCACATGCGCTCTACCGCTGCACTCACATGTCACTCACATCCCCCACTCACACGTCATGTGCCCCACTCACATGTCATGCTGCCCCACTCACATGTCACACTCACATGTCACACTCACATGTCACACTCACATGTCACACTCACATGTCATAGTGCATCTCCTTGGCCTGAAGAATGAGCGCGCTCATGTTTGCTATGTGCGCCCGCGCCTCCTGCTTGTACACTGCTTGGCTGGTGGCAGGAGGGGGAGGAGGGTAAGAGAGGGAGAGGTGTATCATGAGTCAGCACTCAATAAAGCACAATGCTTGTAGTGCGCGCTTGCACCTTAAAAACTGCTTGACTGGGATGGCGGGAAGAGAATGGGGGTCGAGGAGAAAAGGGTGGTAGGCACGTGGAGAGGAGCAGGGGAGAGTTGGCACTGAGGCACGAATAACGACAATCGGGAAGAGAGCAGTGAACAAGAAGAGTGACCCACGCACCTGGGGATAGCAATGGAGCGCGCTAGAAAGGCCTCTGCGGCTCGCACGCCCCGTTCCATCTCGTCGCCCAACTCCCTCTCCCCCGCATCCCGCGCGCGCGTCAGATACGCCTTCCCCAGGCTGATCTGGTCGCTGAGCTGGCGCACCGCGGAGTCGGGATCCAGCAGCTGCTGCCACGCCGGATCGGCGCGGAGAGTGGCGAGGGCCACGCGGATGGATGGCTGGCAGGAAGGGAAAGGGGAAGGGGGAAAGGTGGACGGGTAAAGGGTGTGGGGGGAGGGGGAAAGGGGAAGCGGAAGCGCAGGAATGGGACGTTGGGAGCAGAGGAAGACGGATGGGATGCAGGATTGCGGGTGTCGGCAGCGCTTGGACGATTTAAAACGGGCGGACAGGAGGGAGTCGGATCGTAGCAACGGTACCTGTGAGCCGTTGTTTGCGACGCTGTTAGCTTTCTGTGCGGATTGAGGGGCCACGGGCGAAGGAGTAGCCTGCGATGCGATCCGGCGGGACGGAGAAGGGAGACGTGAACGAAGTTAGTCAACTCCGTCGAGAGGGGTGACGCCTTGAGTGAATCGACTCCTTCGCATGCTGGGTTCTAGAGGCTCCTAGGTGAAACGTACTAGTCTCTTAAGAAGCATTTGGGTCAAATAAGTGGTGCTATTCCTCGTCCTTTCCAGCTCAGCTTAATCTGAATTCGCTCTACAAGCCAGGACGATCGCTCATTGGATTAGTTTGGGAAACTCTCTGACAACGATTCTGTCGTATAATAGTGTCCATTACCTGCTTGCCACGTGGCAAGAGCGAATCTACTGACGGCAGGTGGAGCGAGACGAAGAGCAGCATGACGACGAGCACGCACGCGACCACCAGCAGAACCATGCATCGCTGCCGCCGATGGCGGAGCAACGCGCGGCGCGAATGGCGGGGAGGCGAGTGCGGAAGCGCGAAGCCACCTGCGGTCTTCGGTAGATGCATGACCGTCATGATCGACAGAACTGCGGCGGTTTTCGATCGAGACGTCTAGATGCCTTTCGAGACGTCTCAAAGGTCACCTGCGGTTTTCCATAGGTGCGTGGCTGTGAATACAGACAAAAACTGTTAGTTCCCTGGTTAGGCTTCTCAACGCATGCCGGCGATGCGGGATCGGAACCGTATTGGACCTGACGCCACCGATTTCATTCAATGGTTCAGATTGAACAGATCACTTGTTCCACCTAAACAACGTCCCACTGGTTCGCGCAGGCAGCAGCCGTTGATTGTTCAGGTTGTACGGACGCGGCAGAGTCGTATCAGCTTGAGACACATGACGATTCTCAGCGATCCTCGTCTGCTCGAGGAGACTCGACAGGGATCAAGGTGATGAGTGATGAGATGAGAAGTGGAAAAGTAGTGTCTGTTCGCTGCTGTCCACTGCTAATCTAGGGAATATCATGGGATTAAAAAGTCTCATAATCGGTTCAGAAGTATGCCTTGGGATTTGTTTTCGGGTTGTATTTGCGCGGAAATCGTTTTTGTGACGCGATGCTCTATAACACACTTCTTCAGTCAAACTTGACCATTTATTAACCGAGAGATCTTGTATTTGTCCAGACAGAGCACACTGCCATTCTAGCAGAATTTTCTTCGCTGGGAGAACTTGTTCAACACTAACGCGTACAATTTCCCCCTAGGCAACCTTGGTTTTGGCTGTTCCGAATTCCATCCACTGTCAACCTCCAATCCATGTCCTCTATTCCCTCCCTCCTTCCTTCCACTTTCTGAAATCTGTGGTCATTTCTTCACATCTGGTTCAAAAGAAACGGCTAACAGCTTCGTCGCGTTCATCGTTCTGACACTCGCGCGCTCGCCAATGGCGGAGGACATCTCGTCGCCAGCATTTTCGCCAGACCCCGACGTGAGGCTCTTCAAGCTACAGCACGGAGGCCTCACGGCGACCATCACCAACCTTGGCGCCACTGTCACCAGCCTTACGGTTCCCGATGCACGCGGTTAGCCCCTATGTTGAGTCGCCTCAATTACTGTCACGAGCCTAACCGTTCCAGATTCGCTGTCTCATATCCTTTTCCGTCCCTCCACGTTTTCCAATTCCCCACCTTACCTTGGTATAGATTCTTCTGGCATCGTTCCCGCACTCCCTTCCTAGACTTCGTTTTCCTGACTCTCCCTCTCATCGCTTATCTCCCTCTCTTGCCGTTTATCGTCTTCTCTCTGCCTTTCCCTTCGCTGCACCGCTGACATTCCCTCATTCGTATCGGCCTCTCTCTCCCTTTACCACCCTCCCTCAGGTCAGCTGCATGACATTGTTCTTGGCTTCGACACCGCTCAGCCTTACCAGGTAATAGCAGCCTTACCACGTACAAGCATCCATTGCACTGTACAATCAACGGTAGCAGGACAATGCTAGTATCAGTGGCAGTCATGAAAACGATATGCAATGCACACGGTTATTAAAGTTTTAGCTAGTGGTATGTTCTCGGTTAACAAGTGAGCATCATGACCCATTATCCTCTTGCTTAAGCTTCTCCCTCATCTTCAAACAAACATTCTCAGGAGTAATATGATAACCAGCAATAATTTGGGGGAATTCACTTCTTTCGTTTTTATTTCTTCATGCTGCGTTGTGCCATGGTGCAGGATGGCACATCGCCCTTCTTCGGCTGTGTGGTTGGCCGAGTGGCCAATCGCATTGCAGGAGCTCAGTTCAATCTGGATGGTCAAATCCACCATCTGACGGCCAACGATGGCCCTCGCCCCAACACACTGCATGGTGAGGGATGAGCGAGGGGCATGGTGTGTGTGTGTGAGCATGCATGCTTGCATGAGAGCCAGGGAGGGATAGATGTGTGAGCATAGTTCATAAACTATCTGCGACTTGACTGTATTGACATACACAAAGAAACACTTGAGCCAAAGCGAGTCTAATGGGATGCCACGTTTGTTCTTCTTGGCAAACTTGAACATATTTCTGCTGACAGGTGGCAAAGTGGGATTTGACAAGCGAATATGGCGTGTGGTAGGCAAGGATGAAATCGACAAAATAGTACCCGCTGTATCATCATCAGCAGGAGCAGCAGCAGCAGAGGAGGGAGGAGCATCAGGCAGCAGTACGGAGTTGAATCTGACACTGACGAGTGGGGACGGGGAGGAGGGGTTCCCGGGGAGGGTGGAGGTGCGGGTGACGTACAGGCTGGGAGATGGAGAGATGGTGGTGGTCATGACGGCACATGCTGTTGACAGGGATACTCCCGTCAGCATGGCGCATCACATGTGCGTGCGTGTGGGTGCATGGAAGGGATTGTTATGCTGCACTGGAAGGGTGAGTTGGAGGCTGGCGGGCGATGGGGAGATGGTTGTGGGGATGGTGGCCCATGCTGTTGACAGGGCCATGCCTGTCAGTATGGCACATCATGTGTGCGTGTGTGGATGCACCACATAATGGGTGCGTGCATGTATGCCGTTGTGGATGCATCACCCAGCTATGGGATGGGTGTTATGGCTGCGTGTGCGGTTGATGAGCTATGTTGTTAATTTGGCCCATCAGATGTGAGTGTTTGGCATGTTACATGTGCATGTATGGCACGCCACATGCACACCATCCCATTAAAACCAATCCCGACTGAACGATTTCCATTGTCCTTACATCCTCTTTGCCACACCCACACCCCTAAGCACATGCCCCTTTTCATCTCACTCGCCATCTCCCCATTTCCCCACCAACACCCCTCTCCCCACCCATCTCCCCCTCCCTTCCTGCCCACACCCTCTTCCCCATGCTGCCAGATACTGGAGTCTGGGCGGCCATGCTAGTGGCTCAGTTGCCTTCTCTCCATCCACCCACGCACAACACCCTTCCCAGCAACTCCCCGCTCCCCATCCCCACACCACCCCCTACTCATACAACCCCTTCTCCCCATGCTGTCAGGTACTGGAACCTGGGCGGCCATGCCAGTGGAACAGTGCACGACCACGTTGTGAGGGTCAACGCCTCCCACTACACGCCAATCAATGCCAACCACATCCCCACAGGCGAAATTTTGCCGGTACGCCTTCTCTGGCACCATCACTCGCTGCCAGATCCAGGGTGTCTTTAAGAATCATCTGGAGATATTAATCTGGCCGCTTCTTCACCACCAGTGTGTCTTGAAGGTTTTTTTTAGAAACACTAATAAACATTTTGCTGCCCTTGAGAGTTTTTTAGACATGCTTCACCTCACCATCGTCTGATGCTGCTCCTGTTGTTTTCTTCACCAAATTCAACGGCTCCCACCACAATCACATCACAGGTAGCGGACCACCCCCTTTGACTTCCTCTCGAGGGAGTTTTTTTTCAGATTTCTCAAACGCATTCCAGCACTTCTGCGGTTTCTTTTCTTTTCTTTTCTTTTCCCGACACCTATGCCCACCACCATCACATCACAGGTAGCAGACACCCCCTTTGACTTCCTCTCGAGGGACTTCCCCATTGGCGCCCGCATGGCTGACGTGGCAGGCGGGTACGATCACAATTACGTGCTGCAGAGAACACACACGTGGAGCGGGGAAGAACTGGCGGCTGGGGGAGAATCAGGGACAGAAGGAACGGAAGGAGCATTGGCGGGTGGGGCAACAAATGAATCTGAAGCAGCAGGGGCAGTGTTGGCAGGGCAGAAATTGTTTCTGGCTGCCCGAGTGCGGCACCCGGAAACAGGCATCGTCATGACCCTGTCGACTAATGCTCCTGCCATGCAGTTCTACACCGGCAACTTCCTGGATGGTTCTTTTAAAGGTGGGGCAACTTCCTGGATGGTTCTTTTAAAGGTGTGGCAACTTCCTGGATGGTCCTATGTAGAACCCAGTCCGCATTCAAGTTTTACCAGGTGCGATGCGACTATCCGAGCATCACGTGGCTTCGATGATTGCTTATCCAGGCTTTTCCTTTCTGACACTACATGGCATTGCATGGCATTACATGGCGTTGCTTGTGTGTGAGCCGGTGGCAGGGAAGGGAGGCGCAGCATATCAGCAGCACGCAGGCTTCTGTCTTGAAACACAGGTCAGCTCTTTTGAAATGCTGTTTGTCTGAAAAGATGAACCCTCATCTCATCTTTATCTGATTCCCATCATCTCTTCCCTCGTGTCCTCCTACCATGCTATCCAATGTTGTGAGCACGTCAACGCAGTATCTCACGCACGTCACGTTAACTGCTGTTTCCTGCGCACACCCTTACAATTATAAATGTCTCCCTACCACTCCTTACCATTTATTCTCCTCCTCGCGTTTCTTTTCAGGGCTTCCCAAACGCGGTACGTACGTACGTTCATTGTTTCTGGACAAGTCAGCAGCAACAGCATCTGCTGCTGCCACCGAATATGGACACGTTCTTTCTTGACGCCTCTTCCCTCCACGTGCATCCCTGCTGCAAATCGATATCCAATTTTTACACTCTTGATTCACGCTCTTGCATCTGCCAGGCAGCAACCTTCCACATGCACCCACCTTATCACATGCGGCCACATGTTCTAATTTCTTCTGCTGCCCAACCCCCTTGTCCATTCAGCAGTCCACCTTGATTGTTCCATTGTGTTCCACTGCACCCTCCCCTTCCTGGTCGCTTTGTTCCTGCACGGCCACTCAAACGATCCACTTCTAGAATGATTTTACAAATGCCTGCATGCCCCACGTTCTTTATGGCGTGTCAAAAGATGAACCACGCTGACTGCCCCTGCGGCAGGTGAATGAGCCCAAGTTCCCTTCCGTCATTCTAAGAAACGGCGAGCACTCAGTCCACGTGATGCGAATACAGTGAGTCCTCCACTTCCCCGCTCTTTATTTTTTTACTTCTGAGTACACTCAAAAGTGACTCTGGGTTGACTCAAAAGTGACTCTGGGTTGACTCAAAAGTGACTCTGAGTCAACGCAAACGCGACTCTGAGTTGAATGAAGGGTCACCTCAGGAAGGGAGAGCGCTATGTCCACGTGATGCGAATACAGTGAGTTCTCTCCTCCCCGTCCCCACCACTCTTTATCTGAACATGCTTCGGTTGCTTCTGTTGGCTTCTGCGAGTCGATGGCCTCAAATTCGGTGGCATCGAGAGTTGCAGCTCCACTTGGTCCATCGGTGACTTTTGAGTCGACTCAAGTGTCACCTCGTTACAATGGCACGCGACACATGGCTGCAGTTCCACTCGGTCCATTGGTTCGTTTTCCTGCTATTATGTTCCTGTCCTCTACTCTGCCCGCCACAGGTATGCCTCACTGAGGTCTGTGCTGCAATAGTTTTCTAATTTGCACGCCTTTTACCACCTGACTGATGTGTATGGTGCAGGTTCAGTCATACATAGTTAGCAGCTGTGTATGCTGCCTTCACGACTCTGTCCAGCTGGAGGAGGACTGGAATTTGAACCCGCGTGCACCGATGTCTGCACGTTTGGGTTAAATAATAGTATGGCGACCCAAATTGGACGATATACGTAAAGTATGCCACCCCCATCCCCAACATGGGTGAAGCGACTTCAACCCGCCAGACATAATGACTTCACATCACACTCCTTCCAACACTGTTCTGGTAGTAATGTTCAATCAATCTCATCACTTATGACTACTCCTTAATTAGACACCACCACATGCATTTGCGAAATCAAGCTCGTATCACAGTGTCTCACGAGTCATGACTTGTCTGCCAGCCTCATACCACCACCATCCGGCCGTAGCGAGCAATGGCGTCTGCAAGGATCCATTTCTCCTCCACTCGGTACTCCACTTCCGCCTGCCAGCGCCGCCTCGTTGTCCCGTTTTTTAGTTGACTCAAAAGCAGCCTCACACCACCACCACCATCCGGCCGTAGCGAGCAATGGCGTCTGCAAGGATCCGTTTCTCTTCCAATCGGTACCCCACTGCTGCCTGCATGCGCCGCCTGGATTTTCCCTCCTGCTCATGCTCACCCACCTCTCCTCCCTCACTCCCCTCACTCTGCCTGCTCCGTTCATCACTCGCCGCGCCCCCCTTGAGCTGTTCCAGCTGTGCTTCATCGGCTGGCAGTGTGGTTGGGTAGTCTTTCAGGAGCTCTCTGCAGCGATCCACTAGCTGCTTCGCTGTTGGGGGGCACTCCAAGGAGAGGAGGGGGGGTGGAATTTGTGAGGCGCTGCAATAATCGACTCAAGGAGCACCCTGCAGCGATCCACAAGCTGCTTCGCTGTTGGGGGGCACACCAGGGAGAACAGGGAAGGTGTGGCACAGTGAGGCACGGCGCGAAACGGTGTAGCAGCACGGTGCAGCACGGTGCAGTATGGTGACAGGTAACATGGGAAGTGGCATGGCAAGGTAACACACCTGCCACGGATCGTGTGCGCGGGGAGACGTTGGCCGCAGTGAGGGAGCGAGAGGCGGTCCAGTGGTGGTCGAGATGAGCTAGCTCGTCTGCTGATGATGCATGCAGCACGAGCAGACACTCCATCAGCTTCACTGCTAGGCCGCCTGGAAGGGCATGATGGATGGAGAGTGGAAGGGACAGGGAGAAAGTGAGTGAGAGTGGGGCAGGTGAGTCCAGTGATGGTTGAGCGGAGTGAGCTCGTCCCTTGACGATGCATGCAGCACAAGCAGACACTCCATCAGCCCCACTGCTATGCCACCTGGATGGGGGGACAGGGAGGCTGGCATGGTGGATAGATGAGGAGTAGAAAGGACAGGGAGTGAGCAAGCGAGAGCAAGAGGTGGTGAATGCAGGTGAGGAGAGGCGCAGGCGTACCAGTAAAGGCGAGCAGAGGCGAGGGCCTTACCGGTGTAGGCGAGGAGAGGGGCGTCCCTCTGAGGTCATCTGTGAGAGCAGGTGCCTCTTGTGCTGCAGGTGGAGGAGAGGAGAGGAGGAGCTTACGGGTGCAGGCAAGGGGGATAGAGGAGCTTACCGGTGTAGGCGAGGAGAGGGGCGTCCTCTGAGGTCATCTGAGAGAGCAGGTGCCTCTTGTGCTGCAGGCGCGTTACCCTCTCCTCCACATCATCCATCATTTTCTGCGGCATCAGTGGGAGAGGTGGGAGAGCATGGAGGGCGGGGAGGGAACTTTGAGTTGATGCACCAGCCACAGGCGCGTGGCCCTCTCCTCCACATCATCCATCATTTGCTGCGGCAGCAGGTGAGAGAGCATGGGAGGTTTGAGTTGCAATGGTGAAACCACACTACTTGGTTTCTGAGAATTCTCAAGAAACGTTGGTGGGAGAGCATGGGAGTTGTTTGGAGGTAGATTGAGTATTGAACAGGGGAATCTCGAAACTGAAATGACCAAGTTCGGGTGAAGTAACTCGGTGTTAGAGAAGAGGAAGGGATGACAGCTCAGCTCATAACTGAAATGCTCAAATAACTCAATTTGGTAAATAAAACATTGGGGCCATTTGGGTTAGAGCGCAAATGAAATTGGATTGACGAAGAGAAGCATGGGATGGAATTTCAAGCGGGTCTTGAATGTCGAGTTGACAGAGTGATAGGACTACACGACAGGGTGATCCCAGCCAGATACGGTTGGGTTATCAAAACGGAAGTGCACGTTACTTCTCGCACTCTTTTGTGTTGTGCTTCGCACGTTACCTCGGAGTTGATGGTGATTCGGTTGGCGGGGTTGCTGCAGGGGAGGACTTTCGAGACGTCTCAGAAGTGCACGTTACTTTCGCACTCTTTCCCCCGTTTTAACACGTTACCTCTGAGTGGGAGTAGATGGTGATTCGGTTGGCGGGGTTGCTGTGCGGGAGGAAGCCGAAGGAGAGCAGGAAGGCGAGGGAGGTGAGGGGGCCGTACGAGATGGTCACTTGGGCGCCGGGCCGGAGAGGGCGTGATGCCAGCAGCTCAAAGCGTGGAGGGGATGGCGTGGATGCAAAGCCCTTGATGACGGGATGGGAGTTTTGGGAAGGATGGGAGGGATGGGAAGGTTGGGAAGGCGAGGAAGGTGAGGGGTTTGTTGTAGAAAGATGGTCTGTTGGGCGCCGTGGCGCAGTGGGCGAGATGCGAGCAGCTCAAAGCGCGGAGGGGACGGCACGGATGCAAAGCCCTGGATTATGGGATTGGAGGGATGGGAAGGCGAGGGAGGTGACTTCTGAGAACTCTAAACAAGGCAGTAAGAGATGGTGGCTTGGGCGCCGGCACGGAGTGGGTGTGATGCCAACAGCTCAAAGCGCGGAGGGTCAGATGCAAACCAGCTCACTGTTTCTTCAACTCCACCCAACCCACTGCCGCCTCCTCTCCTCCCAAAACCACCCACCTGCTTTCCCACACTGCAACCACCACACCCACCTGCGTCCGCCCTCTCCTGATGCGCCACGTGGCAGAGGGCTGCACAGCTGCATGTGAATCCGTGGCAGCGCTGCAGGCGTGGTTGGCCATGTCAACCAGGGGTACCAGCACCTGGAGACACGGGGGACAGAAAAGGCATGGAGGAAGGGGTTTGAGACAGCGGCACCAGCACCTGCCGTGGTTGCGAGGAGCGGAAAGGAGAGGGGAGCACATGGAATATGTGTGTAGCTGTAGCACAACCATGAATTAAGTTATACACCACACAGAGTTCTGTGGGTGAGTCCTCAAATTTATACAACAGAAAGAGAGTTTGTGGGTAGAGCACGGAATATAACCACCTCCAACCACTAAGGCGACAACTTAGTTTCACAATCAGAGAACAGCCATGCATGCCTCTCCAACCAGCCTCATAACTGTGCAGCGGATGGCAAGGGAGGAACCGACCCACCTGAAACGAAGATGGCAAGTCCACCAGTCCACCACCCCCGCCCCTGAGCGGCGAGTCCACAGCGGCTCCTCTGAACTCCGCAGCACCGGTACCTTCGGTAGGTTCGGCAGGTTTGACAGCACCGGCAGCCTCGGCAGCACCGGCAGCACCAGTAGCACCAGCAGAACCGGCAGGGTCAGTGGCATGGGAGATGGAGAAGGAGCGTGAGGTGACGACACGCAGAGCCCAGCGCGCTCTCTCCCTCCCCGCCCCTGGCACGGCTGCTGCCACTGCCGCTTCCATTGCGGCCATCTCTGCCGCGTATGCTCGCACCTCCGCCGCTGCTGGGGGCGATTGGAGGTGCTCTAACTCCTCATCGCTCCAATCAGCCAGGGTCTGTGTTGGTCGCACACACACCAGGAGGATGGTAACAGGAAAGGGGTGCAGGAGGGGAGGGGGATCGTGAAGCCTCCATTGCGGCCATCTCTGCCGCGTATGCTCGCACCTCTGCTGCTGTTGGGGGCGACTGCAGGTGCTCTAGGTCCTCCTCGCTCCAATCAACCAGGGTCTGAACTGAAGAGAGGCACGGTGGGTGGTGACAGGAGGAAGGGTGAGGGAAAGTGGAGTGCAGTACTTTATACCAGTTCCCCCCCTGACATGCCATCCTATGCTCGCTCACAACTTGCCCTGCCATTCCATACCATGCCATACCATATCGTAACATGACATGCCATTCCATACCACACCACACCACACCACACCACACCACACCACACCACACCACACCACACCACAACACAAACACACCACGCCACTCCACTCATGGTATCAGAGCAGCACCACGTGCCTCTATCTCTCTCGGCAGCAGCTCCTCTGCATACTGCCGCCATATGCCGCCCGCCATCTGTTGAGACGTCTCGAAACTCGTCTCCTCCTCCTCCACCTCAATCTGCTTTTCCCCACTACCCTCCATCCCCACTGCTTCCCCCTTTCTCTCCCCTTCCCCCGCGCCCATCCCACCGTCCCGTTCCCCGCACACCGCCTGCAGCAGCGCAATCGCCAGTCGCTGCACTGGACTCCCGCTCCCCCTTCCTCCCGCTCCTGCTGACGTGGCGTGCAGAGGCACCCACAGCGTGGCGCGCAGAGGCACGGAGAGAAGAGGCGTGCCGGTGGGGATGGGGGGACGCGCGGGCGCAAACGGGGGAGGGGAAGGCGCAGAATGGGGAGAGGTGGGGGTGGAAGGGGAAGCGGAAGGCACAGAAGGGGGAGCGGAGGGACCAGCGGAGGGGGAACCTGGGAGATCGGTTCTGGGTGAAAAGACAAAGAGGCCTCGTTCCCCCTCCTCCTCCTTCTCCTCCGCCCCCAATCCTGGCTTTAATTTCTCCTCTTCCGCGCTTCTCCCGCCAGTCGTCCGCGGCTCCACCCCCAGGCACACCAGAGGCTCTGCTGGCTCCACGCCGATGCGCTGCCACATGTCCATAAACGATTGGCGCTGCTCGTGTAGTGCACTTCCCGCATTTCTCGGTTCGACGTAAGTTTCTGTGTCCGCCTGGCACTTATGGGTCATAATCTCGTGCAGTCTGTGGGTTGCTCTTTCCATGGTGCGAGCAGTTTGGCATCCACGTCCCCAGACTGACAATTGCGGAAGAGCCGCGGCATGGGCGTGCCTTGATGCGCTGGTTCGGTCGGCCGAGGCTTCTTTCGTGTTGCGGGGAATGGGCTCCAAACTCCGGCATCTGACGGCATTACCGTTTCTCGCGTTTCGGGAGGCTTGGAGCGGGAATGGCCTTACTAGCGCTGCCCGGGAAAAGTTCGTATGCAGTTTCCTTGAGCGGGAGATTCTAGGCTGCTTGAATAATGCTGTAAATTGGTGGGAAAGGGTAGAGCGGACCACCACGAGAGGTTTGACGGCTATGCGAGAATGGAAGTGTTCAAGTGGTTCTGATATAGCCCGGGCCACCGGAAGATTCTTACAATGGCCATCGTAGATTGCGGGCCTCGGGAGGCTGACCAGCATTTTTCGGTTTCAAGAGCGCGTGCTGAGCTAAAGCTCAAGGATTGTCTTCAAGTGAGATAAATGAGAGGGCATATTTTATTCAGTATTTAGGGAATTTGGGAAATGAGCCAACACCTTGGGATTGCCGTGTGGTTCGGGTGAGGGGAATTTGGGAAATGAGCGAAGAGGGGTCCAACCAAACGAAAGCAGTATGGCCTGAAAAGAGTGTCGTGTTTGCGAGATTCCGGCTGTGCGAATGTAAGAATATTTCGTTAACATTCCTGACAAGCGGAAAGTTGCACGACGATGGGGTGATGGGGTGACGAGAAAGGGTTACCGGTCACTTTGAAATGCGCGAACACAGCGAGCAGCAAAATTGGTACACCGCATCTTTCGCTCACCTCCAGGTCTCTAGGTTCCTAGACCGTGGACATCATCTTCCGCTGTTCACTCCTATGCTGAGCGCTGCGGGTTCACGCTCCTTGTAATAACCTGACTATCCCCTGACTACTACACCTTGATCGTTTCACAATATACGTCGAGACCCGCAGCGCGATCGGCATTAGAAAACCACGAAATTCAGTTAGTCCGCGTACCATGCGTCGAGCCGCAGTTCAAGCCATTCACTTAGGCCGCCTCGCCGCGTCCGTCGCTCCTGCCGGACCCGCACCATCCAGCGCGATTCCCGCTTGCCTGTCCACGTCAGCCGCGAGCAGATCGCCATGGATCGCGCCATCTCCGATGGCCAATCAGAGTGTGCCAGTTGGCACCGCTGCTGCTGCAAGATTATTCAGCGCAGAGAGCAGCGTAGATAGCGGCTCGGCGGGTCAGCAGCTGATCGCGTCGCTATTGGTCGAGCGGCTGCCTGTCGTCATCCCGAAGCCTCCCGAATGGGCTCTTAAATACGAGACGTTTAGGTTCGTGTACCGAGGCGCCCTGGAAATCTCTCGAGGCTTTTAGGCTCGTGATCGTAGTATGCCTTTATGGGTTTGCTAGCTTGCAGGTGTGACAATAACGAGCACTCTTTTTCCCCTCTGTATATGTGACAGTTTCGAGCGGAAACAGCAATACCGCAAGCAGTATCCCAAAGATTTTATGGACGCGGCCGCTTCGACCAATGCAGGTGTGCCACGTGTCGGTTCCGGGTTTTTCTTCTCTCCCAATGGCAGACCTTCTGGCCCGTCCCTCCCCGTTACGCCATCCGTCCGTCTCTTGCTTTCTCCATTCAGTCTCATGCCGTCACCATCGCCATTCTTCCCCCACACATCCTTCTAGTTGAGTCGTTCTCACAACACGCCATATTCCATTGCACCTGTCTTCCCGCCCCCTTCACCCCTAACCCACTCCCGTCTCCGTTCCCCACCCTTCCCCCGCCACCCTCTCCCGCGCACATCCCCCTCTCCCCCGCGCGCACACTCCCCCTCCCCTCCGCGCACGCGCCCCTCCGCCGCGCGCGCAATAGGCGCGGAGGGCGAGGGCGAGGAGGAGGACGAGTACTGGGCGGGAGTCCTGGACGCGCCGTTTGACGCGCCATCCAGACGAACCGCTGCTGACGAGGCCAATGACGTCAGGTGGGTGGGAAGGGAAGGGCCAAGGGCGTCAGGTGGGTGGGAAAGCGTGAAGTAAAAAAGCTTCCTTACAGACAGCTTCGCTGACAAGCACAAGTAAGCCTCCGCACCTTACCTAGGCTTACCTGCTTTTCCTGGCCTCCCATGTTCCCCCATTACCTCCCTCCCTCCCTCTCACTGACCCCCCTCCGCCTCAACGTCCCCCTCTCCCCCCCTCACCAGGTCCCTTCAACGGTCGCTGGACGAGCGCCTGTGCCTGCTCCCCTCATTTCCCCCACTCTCCCAACTTCCCCACTTCCTTTCACCTTCCCCATCATCCCTACTCCTATTTACCCCTTCCATCCCCTACAACACCCACCAGGTCCCTGCAGCGTGCACTGGGCAAGCGCCTCTACCTGCTGCTCCCCCCACTCCGCCTGTACTTCCGCCTGCACCCTAATTGTGCCCAATCCCCCCCCATCCCCCCTACCGCCCTCCAGGTCCCTGCAGCGTGCACTAGACAAGCGCCTGTACCTGCTGCTCAAGGGGCCCTCGCTTGCCGGCCAATCAGGCAGCGACACGTGGCACTTCCCGGAGAAGCTTTACGAAGGCGAAGACTCCATGCGCCAGGTGTGTTTCACAAGCCACGTGTGCTTCATTCCAGCCATGCCTACTTGATTCATATGGAATTCGCCAAAGTGACTCCCCTTTCCCCCAACCCTGCCCCATGGCCTTTCTTTCTTTTCTCCATCGCTTGGGTTCCTTCCCAACCCTCTTTCCCCCAACCCTTCCCTGTCCGTATTCTCTTTCTCTGTTACTTCCCCTCTTCTTCTCACCTTCTTTCTTCCTCTCTCCGCTTCCCCCCTGCGCCTCGCCTGCCTTTGTGTTCACCTTTGTGTTCACCTGCAGTGTGCGGAGAGGGCAGCAGCATCATCCCTCGGTTCATCCCTCGACCTCTATTTCGTGGGCAATGCTCCCTGCGCGCATGCTCCCATGGTAATACCCGTTGTTGTCTTTGCGTTGCAACATGAGAGGTACGTGTATGCATGCTCCTCCCTTTGGCTCCCATGGCGCGGCACCTATTCATCCCTCGGGTTCCTTCCGCGACCTCTGCTTCGTCGGCAATGCTCCCTGTGCACATGCTCGCATGGTAATCCCTGTTGTGTTGTTGTGTTGCCGCATGAGGGATGCAGGCCTGCACTACATGCATCCATTTCTTGGGAGCCTCATCGGCATTATGCCATGTGCCTTCCTGTATTGTACCCGTTGGTGCTGCGTGTGACTGTAATGAGTATGACTGGTTGTACATCCTGATACTCGCATCACCTGCATGATCCATAATTGTATACCCATTGCTCTCGCACAGCACCTCGTGTCACACCTCTGTCACACCTCACGTCACACTATACCATACCTTATCTCAGTCATGGGTCTGTCTCTCCTCCCTCACACCTTCCCCACCCCCCTATGGTAATCTTCGATCCAACCAGGCTGCAGCAACAGCTTTCTTTTTCCGAGCCCATGTGCTAGGAGGTGATTTTCAACCAGCTGCCGGGACGATAAAAGATTTCGCGTGGGTGAGCAAGGCGGAGATCCCAGACTACGTGGACCTCTCAGCCATCCCTGACGGACCCAAGCTCTTCCAGACGCTTCTTGCGGATGAGTGATAGGGTAGGGAGCAGTGTGTGTGCTGTGCTATATATGTGAGCAAGGCAGAGATCCCAAAGTACGTGCATGCACCTCTCAGCCATTCCTGATGGACCCAAACTCTTCCAGACAAATGACGAGTGATACCAAGATAGGGATATAGTAGCGAACACCATGTCGGCTGTGTTGCGGAAATCCCAGATGACCTTTGTTCCCCGAGGGATCAATTGCTTGTCTATCACTGACGGACGGACCCTACCCAAGCTCTTCCAGACTCTGCTCATGGTGAATGCAGCAGCGCACGTTAGTTAGCAGTCCTCTCCGCCTTTGGTCTTCGTATTCAGGAGTATGCAATGCATACAACATCCACGCTCCAGCAATGCAAATACGGTACGTCTATCCGTGTGGCCCTTCCTTAACAAGTTCAACTAAACGCAACGCAGAGCTAGGTACTACTCGACAATCAAGGTGGTGTAGAACATCTCAGTCCAGGACCCCGGTCACCGGGGCCCGGTGCGTAACTCTGGTAGGTTGCTAAGAAGGGTGTGCTACCAATGGTACTCTAGCATATTTGGTTGCCCGGGGTACGTACCGTGCATCCATCACAGCCTCTGACCTCCGATAGTCTATGCATGTGCGCTTTTACTGCCATGCGTGGCAAAGTGCTTAATCTCAGACGAGCGAATCTTTACAGTGTGCAAGTTTAAGCGCGTGAAACAATCTTCTGTCACACACGCCGGTTCATAGGGCAGCAGTGAGAAGCTGCACCACCCACCAACCATCACCCCATACACTACCTACGGTAACATTATCCATGACAGCTAGTACCCTGCAGCACAGACCACAGGTGCTCTATACTTAACTAGCACGAGAAGTCTTGCAACATGAAAGCAAACGGGTCGGACACCACCACTGGCAAAGCTTGTGTCCGCAGCAGCGAGCACCACATGCATCGTGGTGCTCACAGCAGCGATCCACTGCCCACAGCACACTCTGCCACCAGACGGAACGGAACACACCATCGCATGTCACAGCACCACCACCGGGAAACACACTGCACTGCACACCATCGCACAGCACCGCACTGCACACCAGCTCACAGCAGCTGCCCTTCAAGGATCTTCGCCGCCCTCTCAATCGCCCGTGCCGCCCGGAAGATCTCATGCTGCACCGCACTCCACTCCTCCCCATCCTCGTTAATGTCACTCCCCTTCATAGCACCACCAGCCTCAGCCTCGGGATTCTCCTTTTTGGAGGCGCTGCTTTTGATGACATCAGCGATGGCGTCTCGGATCCCGGGGAATGGTGACGTGGCATAGTCGTTGTCCTTCTCAGGGCCGTACACCTGGCACGGGGCGGTTGGGAGAGCAAAGAATTATAAAGTGTTCAGTATGTATACTACAATTGAGTAACTTTTGAAGATTATTATTAAAAAAAAAAACCTGTAATACACTTGCGGTGTCTAATGCCATTCCGCACACATGACATGACACCATACAACATACCCCCACCTACCCCATATACCTCCAATATTAGCACCATCGGTGCACTCATGAGGCGCCTGAGAAGTAGACCTAGTGGCATCACCGCATCAGTCCACCCAGAACATGCTTGCACCACATGACCCGTGTTCAAGAGGCCTGACCAGGAACGTCAGAGCCTTGCCTTGCACACGCACACCACGCCAAATACCTGCCTCACGCAAAGCACCATTATTTTCATTCCATACAGAACCAGTCTTCGTGGAACAATGTACAGCTAACCCACCGGCACGCACCCACGCTCACACTACCGTACACACCATGACATTCCCACCCACCAGGTGCTTGAACCACGTGTAGTGAGGCCCGATGCCGTGCCCGTCCAGGAACCCTCTCTCCGCCAGAAAGAGGCGCTCGTTCACCGCGTCAAACGCCTTGGACGACGGGCAGTTGCCGCCTTCCCCAGATGCGCCCTCCATGGGGCATCCCCTCCCCCTCGTGCACCTGCACGCGCTGCTGCTCCTCGCTGCGATGTGCTGTGGTGATAGTGGGGGGGTGTGGGTTGGGGGTGGGAAGGGGTGAGAAAAGAAAGGGAGAGGTGAAGAGATGCCGTGGCCGTCCAGGAACCCCCTCTTGGCCAGAACGAGGCACTCGTTCACCGCGTCAAAGGCCGTGGAGGACGGGCAGTTGGCGCCTTCCTCCAAGAGGCATCCATGGAGGACTTTGAGTGAAGACCACACGGGAGGACTTTGAGTGAAGACCATACGGGAGGATCTTGATTGAAGACCACACGGGGGGAGTCTTGAGTGAATCCCCCGTGTGGTTTTCACTCAAGACTCCCCCGTGTGGTTTTCACTCAAGACTTTCCCGTGTGGTTTTCACTCAAGACTCCCCCGTGTGGTTTTCACTCAAGACTCCCCCGTGTGGTTTTCACTCAAGACTCCCCCGTGTGGTTTTCACTCGAGACTCCCCCGTGTGGTTTTCACTCAAGACTCTCCCGTGTGGTTTTCACTCAAGACTCCCCTCATGAAATTTTCACTCAAGACTCCCCCGTGTGGTTTTCACGACTCCCCCGTGTGGTTTTCACTCAAGACTCCCCCGTGTGGTTTTCACTCAAGACTCCCCCGTGTGGTTTTCACTCAAGACTCCCCCGTGTGGTTTTCACTCAAGACTCCCCCGTGTGGTTTTCACTCAAGACTCCCCCGTGTGGTTTTCACTCAAGACTCCCCCGTGTGGTTTTCACTCAAGACTCCCCCGTGTGGTTTTCACTCAATACCCCCCCGTATGGTGCACACTGCACCTCACCGCGCTGCACACATCAACATCGAACACAAGTTTCCAAGAATACCTGAATCTCCTCTTAAGTGCCTTGAGCAGCAGCTTAGAGGCGAGAGACATACACAAATATGTGCACCCCACCGCTGTGCATCCCACCGCTGTGCACCCCTGAATACCAGCCTGAATGCGCACCTGAAATTCCGCTTCTATGCCTTGAGCAGCGGCCAGGAGGCGAGAGACAGACGCAAAGAGCGGCACCACAGAGAGAGATGACGGGGCGCCGTGTGCTGCCACGTCAGCCTGCAGCCTTGCCACGTCATGCTCCAGGTGGACGGCGTAGGCGGAGTAGTTGAAGGGCAGGCGGTGGTCGCCTGCCAGCCTGGCAGCCACACCAGCCATCATCTTGGTGACTGCCACGTGGCGCTTGAAGAGTGGATCGGCAAACGTGGCCATCCAATGGTAGTTGTCGTATATGCTGTGGTACATGGGGTAGGCTGTACCACAAGAGAGGAAAATGGGGGAGGGAGCGGGGAACGGAGAGGAGTTTCGTTATGGAAGCCATCCATCCAATGGTAGTTGTCGTACATGGGGTAGGCTGGTTGCATGCGGGTACAGGGGTGCAAGGGGGAGGGTGGAAGGGGGAGGGAAGAGGGAAAGGAGATTCAACACTCCTCAAAGGTGGCCATCCAATGGTAGTTGTCGTACACACTGTGGTACATGGGGTAGGCTGGTACAAAGGGAGGTAGGAAGAATGGGAGACGTGTGCTGTGTGAAAAAAGGGCAGGGAACCTTCCGGGCACCCTAAACGCCATCCAATGGTAGTTGTCGTATATGCTGTGGTACATGGGGTAGGCTGGTGCAATGAGAGATGGAAAAGAGGAGTGGAAGAGAAAGAACGGGTGAGATGACATTTGAGACGCCCCAGATGCCATTTTGTGGTTGCTTGTTGTCGTACACACTGTGGGGTAGGCTGGTTGCAACGAGAGAGGGAAAAGGGGGAAGGGGGAAAGCGGGGGAGAGAGGGGGAAGGGATGGAGCTTTGAGGCGCCTAAAAGCCACTCAATGGCAATTGTCGTACACACTGTGGAACATGGGATACGTTAGTACAGTGAGAGAAGGCAAAGGACGGGGGAGGAATGGGAGAGGACCAGGCGCCTAAAAGCCATTCAATGACACAAAGTAGGTTAGCCTAAAATACCAGCCTCCTATAAGCTCACACCACCTTCTTAGAAGCTCACACCCCTTATTTTCTCACCACCCCCTCCAAGCCGCAAACCACCCTCTCATAAACTCACATCCTCCAAAGTGGGTGTCAGCAGCGGCAATCCCAAGGTGCTGCAGGAATGCTGCAAAGTCGCTGCCTCCCCCTCCCAACCGCCCCAACTGCAGCGCGTTTTGAGCGATGTAGCATGGGGGGGATGTACGTGGGAATAGATGAGTATGAAATGAAACATCTCATGCATGCGTGGGGATGCATACAATGAGCTTCGAGGGTGCAGAATGGGGGATGTGTGCGCAAGTGCAATGCACAACAGGTGTCTCAAGCACCTGTCGTGCATACGGAGCTGGATTTCTAACCTCTCAAGCACCACGCTATGTGCTTCACCAGATCGCACTCACAGCTTTATGCACCATGCACCATGCACCATCCACCATGCACCATCCACCATGCACCATCCACCATGCACCATGCACCATGCACCATGCACCATGCACCATGAACCATGCACCATGCACCATGCACCATGCACCATCCACCATCCACCATGCACCATGCACCATCTACCATGCACCATCCACCATGCACCATCCACCATGCACCATTCACCATGCACCATCCACCATGCACCATGCACCATCCACCATGCACCATCCACCATGCACCATGCACCATGCACCATGCACCATGCACCATCCACCATGCACCATGCACCATGCACCATGCACCATGCACCATCCACCATGCACCATCCACCATGCACAATCCACCATGCACCATCCACCATGCACCATCCACCATGCACCATCCACCATGCACCATCCACCATGCACCATCCACCATGCACCATCCACCATGCACCATGCACCATCCACCATTCACCATGCACCATGCACCATGCACCATTCACCATGCACCATCCACCATGCACCATCCACCATGCACCATCCACCATGCACCATCCACCATGCACCATCCACCATGCACCATGCACCATGCACCATGCACCATGCACCATGCACCATGCACCATGCACCATGCACCATGCACCATCCACCATGCACCATCCACCATGCACCATCCACCATGCACCATGCACCATCCACCATGCACCATGCACCATGCACCATGCACCATGCACCATCCACCATGCACCATGCACCATGCACCATGCACCATGCACCATGCACCATGCACCATGCACCATGCACCATGCACCATCCACCATGCACCATCCACCATCCACCATCCACCATGCACCATGCACCATGCACCATCCACCATGCACCATGCACCATCCACCATGCACCATGCACCATGCACCATGCACCATGCACCATGCACCATCCGCCATGCACCATCCGCCATGCACCATGCACCATGCACCATCCACCATGCACCATGCACCATGCACATCCACCATGCACCATGCACCATCCACCATGCATCATGCACCATGCACCATGCACCATCCACCATGCACATCCACCATGCACCATGCACCATCCACCATGCACCATGCACCATGCACCATCCACCATGCACCATGCACCATCCACCATGCACCATCCACCATGCTTCCATGCACCATGCACTATGCCTCATGCACTATGCACCATGCACCATGCATACACCACACATGCACCCTTGCATCGTCTACAGCTCACCTCAGGCTCTGACGCGTTGTGCTCAGCCGCCCACCCCTCCAATATCGACTCGCCAGCTGGACCGTCAGGATTGGCTACCTGTGGGGGGCGGGCACATAGACAGAGTGGGAGGGAGTGGGGAAGGGGAAGAATGGCATTATGGCATTCAGTGGGGAAGGGGTGAGTGAGCACGGGGGGGAAAGGAAGTTGCTATTCCCCCAGTCCACATGGCTCAATGGTATCAGTGACACCTGGCTGCTGACATCAGCATGCCTACCTGACTGCTGACGTCACGGATGAGGTCATCAAGCTGAGGGGTGGCGGAGGCATGAAAGCCCCCTCCCCCCACCGCCACGTCCACGTTGATGTACGCCATGGCTGACGTTGCCAGCACCGGCGCATTGTCCTCCGCCCATTCGGTTGACCCCAGCTGAAAGGGGGGTTGGGAAAGCGAGGGATAGGAACGGAAGGAATGCGTCTTGAACGGAAGGAAGCCCCCGAAGCCCCCTCCCTCGTGGCCACGTCCACATTGATGGCTGCCTGCCATGGCTGCCGTTGCTAGCAGCGGCGCGTTGTCCTCCGCCCACTCCAGCGGCAGCTAGGATCCTAGCTGAATCGGGGGACAGACAGGGACGGACTTTTGAGAATTCTCAAAATCATTCCAATACAGCTAGGATCCTAGCTGAATTGGGGGACAGACAGGGACGGACTTTTGAGAATTCTCAAAATCATTCCAATACAGCTAGGATCCTAGCTGAATCGGGGGACAGACAGGGACGGACTTTTGAGAATTCTCAAAATCATTCCAATACAGCTAGGATCCTAGCTGAATTGGGGGACAGACAGGGACGGACTTTTGAGAATTCTCAAAAGTCATTCCAATACAGCTAGGATCCTAGCTGAATTGGGGGACAGACAGGGACGGACTTTTGAGAATTCTCAAAATCATTCCAATACAGCTAGGATCCTAGCTGAATCGGGGGACAGACAGGGACGGACTTTTGAGAATTCTCAAAATCATTCCAATACAGCTAGGATCCTAGCTGAATCGGGGGACAGACAGGGACGGACTTTTGAGAATTCTCAAAATCATTCCAATACAGCTAGGATCCTAGCTGAATTGGGGGACAGACAGGGACGGACTTTTGAGAATTCTCAAAAGTCATTCCAATACAGCTAGGATCCTAGCTGAATTGGGGGACAGACACGGACGGACTTTTGAGAATTCTCAAAATCATTCCAATACAGCTAGGATCCTAGCTGAATTGGGGGACAGACAGGGACGGACTTTTGAGAATTCTCAAAATCATTCCAATACAGCTAGGATCCTAGCTGAATTGGGGGACAGACAGGGACGGGGATGGGGATGTGAGATGTAAAGAGTGAGGGGAATGTGAAGTTAACGATTTTGGAAGTAAGGAAAAAACACATCATTCACTCCTATATTGTTGCCAGTGCAACCACTATATACTGGCACAGTAGCTCCCCACTACAATCAACTCCCTCAGTGTCACACTCACGCATCCGTACTCCTCAGCATCCTTTTCACTCCTCCCCTTAGGCTGTCACATTGCCACCCCCCTCTACTGTCACACTCACGCATCCGTACTCCTCAGCATCCTTTTCACTCCTCCCCTTAGGCTGTCACATTGCCACCCCCCTCTACTGTCACACTCACGCATCCGTACTCCTCAGCATCCTTTTCACTCCTCCCCTTAGGCTGTCACATTGCCACCCCCCTCTACTGTCACACTCACGCATCCGTACTCCTCAGCATCCTTTTCACTCCTCCCCTTAGGCTGTCACATTGCCACCCCCCTCTACTGTCACACTCACGCATCCGTACTCCTCAGCATCCTTTTCACTCCTCCCCTTAGGCTGTCACATTGCCACCCCCCTCTACTGTCACACTCACGCATCCGTACTCCTCAGCATCCTTTTCACTCCTCCCCTTAGGCTGTCACATTGCCACCCCCCTCTACTGTCACACTCACGCATCCGTACTCCTCAGCATCCCAGCTGGCAAACACAAGTGAGCGGCGAGGCGACCAACCATGCGCTGCCATGTGGCCAAACGCACGCGCCACCTGGCGAGGGGAGATTGGGATGACAAGGGGATGGGGAGACGAGAGGGTGTGGGGGGAAGAGACGATTGTGAGGGAAAGAGAAGAGTTGACTTGAAAAGATAAAGTAATACGTGCAACCTGGATAGCCGCGGTACCTCAAGCAAACACACAGTACCGCTGTTGACATCAACACACGGTACCTCGAGCAAGCAGGTGGTGCCGCTGTTGGGATCCGCGGCACCAAACACCCACGCATCGCGATGGTTGCCCAGGATGATGTACCTGCACAAGTGGTGGTGGTGGTGGTGGTGGTGGTGGTGGTGGTGGCCAGGGAGGTTTATTGACCCAAAATGATGACCTGAGGGCATTGACTTCCAAAACGACGAGGACAGAACACATCACAATCTAAAGAAATGAGAAAAGCTTTGCTGAAATCCGGCTCTGGTTGGCTGCAATTGCACCAGGGACAGATACGGTGGTCTCATTTCAGTGAAGGTGGCAAATCAGACACCCAGCATTTCATTGCCCTCAGCTCAGCGCACCTGTCCGGCTGGTGGGAGCCTGGCAGCACGGCAATGACGTTGCGGATGGTGGTAACTGTGGTCACTGTGTCAATCTGGCATTCCACCTGGCACTCAGTGATGTGCATATCAGACCATACAGCACTCTCACTCGCCGCTGTCCCAAACGCACCTGTCCGGCTGGTGGGAGCCTGGCAGCACACCGATGACGTTGCGGATGGTGGTCACTGTGGCGTTCATCTGTGATCCGAGCAGACGAAGGAGAGGGCAGGGGATGGGGATGGGGATGGGGAGGGTGAGCAGGCAGGCAGGAGCATGCAGGTGTGAAGGATGAGTTTTGAGTCAACTCAAAAGGCTGGTGGGAGCCTGGCAGCACACCGATGACGTTGCGGATGGTGGTCACTGTGGCGTTCATCTGCAATCAAGCGAACAAACGGTAGGAGAAGATCTTGCAAAAATGGGCAGGGGATGCGGAGAACGGGCAGGAAGAATCAAGCAGGTGTGAAGGATGAGGTGGGAAGGGATGGATGGCTGAAAGCAAGGTGCATGACCCCCACACTCACTCATTGTGCGTAATGCATGGCGGCGGATACGCATACCATGCGCGTGCAAGAGCGACTGCACGCACGCACGCACGCACGCACGCACGCACGCACGCACGCACGCACGCACGCACGCACGCACGCACGCACGCACGCACGCACGCACGCACGCACGCACGCACGGACGGCATGCCACCACGCCACTCGTCCAGCACCGCCCTTCCCACCCATGTGCGCCATCACCTCCCCCCCCACCTGGTACCCCACCGCCCACACCCACCCCCAACCCTCCCCCCCTCACCCCCACCTTAGGGCGCACTCACCTGCACGTCCAGGTCAACAGCAGCAGGCCCAGGTCCAAACACATACTGCACGTCTGTCATGCCGCCGCGCCACTCCTCTGGCACGGCACTCCCGCCCATGTGCGCCATGATGCTCCCCGCCACCGCATACCCCACCGGCAGCACCGGGATGCGCGGAAGGCGCTTGGCTGTTTCCTCGTCGCTCAATCTCTCCCCGCCTGGGTGGGACGGCCAACCAGGGGTGGCAGGGTCGCCCTTGCCTGGAGGAGAGGAAATAACGGAAGGAGAGGGGAGGGACGGGCAGCACATAACATCACATCACAGCATGTGCGTGCGTGCATTCATCTTCCAACCCCCATATGCGCCATCGCGCCCCCGCCACGCTGCACCTCACCTCACCGGCAACACCGTGATGCGTGCAAGCCGCTTGGCTGTGTCTGTGTCTTGTCACATAACCTTTCCCCACCAGGGTGGGACGGCCAGCCGGCCACTGCATAGTCCGCATGGCGCATGGTGCATGGAGGTGCATGGCGGTGCATGGTGCATGGTGGTGCATGGTGCATGGTGCATGGAGGTGCATGGCGGTGCATGGTGCATGGTGGTGCATGGTGCATGGTGCATGGAGGTGCATGGCGGTGCATGGTGCATGGTGGTGCATGGTGCATGGTGCATGGAGGTGCATGGCGCATGGCGCATGGCGCATGGCGCATGGCACATCGCGCATGGTGGTGCACGTCTGAAGACCATTGCATCAAGGTGACTTTTGAGTCGACTCAAAAGTCACCTCGCATGGTGGTGCACGTATGAAGAAGACCATTGCACCATTGCACCATCGCACCATCGCATCAGCATGGAAAAGTAAGTACCTGTGTAGATGGTGCCTCTCTGGGCGCCAGTGACGGGCAGCCATTGCTGCTGCGGGTAAACATGCGCGTCATCCGTGCCCTCTGGAGCATAGTCTGCTGGATCGGAGTACAGCAGCACTGCTGCCACGCCGAGCCTCTCCGCATTCCGAACCTGACGGACAGGTTCGGAACAAAAGGAAAGATGCTCGTGGTTTGGGTGAGAGGGGAGGGGCGGAATTGGGTTGGAGTGAAACGGTTTTTGAAATGAAAGAGTCTCCTTTGCTGATAGGAAATACTCTAATGAAATGTATAGGCTCACCTTATCCCCTCTAAAAGTCTTCCCATAACGAATCAGCGCCACTGTACCCTTCACCTGCTCCTCCCCAATCGCCGCCACCAGCGCCTCGAAATCCTCCTCGCGCCCATAATTCGCATACACCACCGCCGCTCCCTCCGCCTCCCCCGCTCCTTCCCCCTCCGCCTCCGCCTCTCCCGCCCCTTTTCCGCCCACCCTCCCCCGGACCCCCCCGCCGACCCTCCCGCTGCCGGAGTACGCGTTAAAAGGATCAGTGGCGGCGCGCGAGGCGCTAAACGGGTCGCCGTGGACGGGCTGCTCGCGCAGCGAGAAGTTGCGCGCGACGGGGCGCACGAGGCGGAGCGACTGGCGCAGTGGGTAGGAGAGAAGCACGGGGTAGTCCGCGTAGTGCGCCCGCAGGCCGTACGACTGCCGTGGGATGCGGGGAGGTGAGAGGTGAGGCAGGAGGGGGCGTAAGGCTGTTTGAAATGAATCAAAAGTCACTCGGGGATAGTCCGCGTAGTGCGCTCAGAGGCCGTACGACTACCATGAGATGCGGGAAGGTGAAGGGGCAGGTGAGAGGGGAGACGACAGAAGTTGATAGGATGTGAATCCTATGGTGATGCGCGCATATGACACGTGGAGACTGAATGAAAATCCTATTTATAGAGTCTCCTGTTCACACCTCGAATTTCTCCTTGACATAACGGGCAGTCTCAAAGTTTTCGGGGGTGCCCGCGATGTGCGGCTTGGCGGTGAGCTCCCGAAGGTGCAAAGCGAGGCTCTCATTGGACACGAGCGAGAAGAGCTTCGGCAGAAACCCGCTGCTCAATCCGTCCTCATTGCGACCGTCCACCGACGAACCCGCGTCGCGCGATTCGTAAGCGAGGCGCGAGAAGAAAAGGAAGGTGAATAATCCCAAGGTGAGCGTCAGGGGGACGTACGCGAAGGCCGTTCGCGACCTTGATGCGGCCTGCTGCGGCAGCAGCGATGAATGATCCATAACGGCGTTACTAGGATGCACTAACAACGACGAGCGCCCTGAAACGAGAAGAGAGACGTGCAAGTGGAAGGGGTACGTAAGGCAAAGGGGCTACTAATTTCCCTTCACTATATCTAGGATTTGGACGAAGAATGGAGTGGAGTGGAGTGGAGTCATTACAAACGAAGGGATTTGGCAGTGGAGTGGAGTCATTACAGCAGAGCAGACGAAGAATTCGGTTTGGTTTGCTTCTGCGAAAGATTGAAGGCAAAAGAAAGGACCTGGTTGTGTTGGCGACATGACAAATGTTTTCGCAAGAAAGGTCTATGGCTGCGGAGTGGTAGTAACCGTGTTGCGTGGCCGCGCGAATGATGGATCTCCCTGCATCTTGAATAAATCGCTGTGGTGCATGCCGCGCTGGAGGATGAACTGCGGCGCGCGTTCCACGTGAGCATACCCACGTGGGTGACCACGTGGGCACTCCTTTTCAGGGTGAAGGCGGCGAGCCGAGCAGCATTAGATATACATACATACAGACTGGCTTTGTTATCCTAATCTCAATATTCGAATTTAAATGCTCCATATAGCGTACGTTTGGAAGCCCCCTCCAAAGTACACCCCTCACCGAGGGCAAGGTTCCAATAGATAGTTTGCTCGCTAGATTTAGGAACCTTGACTCCACTATTTTGTCTCATTGTCCGCGTGTCTCTCCATCATGTCACTCACAAACGGCCTACAACCAGCGCCACCGCCGCCGCTCCTAAAATATGACGGCCGGCCACAGGAACTGCCAGACAATCAAGGCACGGCGTTGCCTGCGCTAGAGCAGCTTCCGCCTTTGCCTGCTCCCTGTACGCGATTGGAAGTAGACCTTTACCGCCTGTTGCGATGCTGCGAGCGCATCGCACGGAGCCAATCAGCAGTCGAGCTGCAACGAGATTTCAAGTTCCACAACGTGGGTGAGAGTGACTGCGAGCGAGCCGTTCGATCATTTCACAGCGCTGCCGTTCACGGATATGTGCTCGCCACAGCTCTTTCGTTCACGGATTTTTATTTATTTTTTAAGGCGCCTCGAAAGTCTTTCGGTCACGGATCGCTGGAGCTGTCGATCACACACAGATGCCTTTCAGGACTTTTGAGACGTCTCAAAAGTCGGTCACACACACAGATGCCTTTCAGGACGCCGGCTGTATGCCTCGATTGCGTCCAACTTTGCCTCTCAACTGATGACCTATCCTCTCATCCTTCTCTTCAAGCCTTTCATTTCCGTTCGTCAATCCCTATGCCAATCCCGCTCTCCCGCAGTACGTTGCGTATCTCCGCGAGCTCTTCGCGCAAGTGCAGCAGGAATCAAGAGCGGACTCAGCAGGCCGCTCTGCAAGGTACAGTACAGGTGTTAGCAAGCACAACAGCATTCTGTTTGCCATTGTCGGGTTAAGCGACCACTTCTGAGGCGCCTCAAAAGAGCAGGCTCAGCAGGCCGGTCTGCAAGGTACAGGCGTCAGCAAGGAAAACAGCATTTCGTTTTCCTTGTGTGTGTGTGTGTGTGTGTGTTTTTTTTTTTTTTTTTTTTTTTTTTCGTCACGTAGCTTCATGTTGTTTTCCCCCCACTTACAGCTTGACTTTTGAGTTGACTCAAAAGTCACTTACAGCTTGACCGTCCACACAGTAGGATGGCATACGGTAAATGTATCATTGCTGAGGTTTCCACCTAGATCGCCCTTTATGATGACGTTAGCTGCGACGCCGTGGAGGTGTGGCCCTTCCTCCACTCCTCCTGCCCTGCTCCAGTCCTGCCCTGCTCCAGTCCTGCCCTGCTCCACTCCTGCCCTGCTCCAGTCCTGCCCTGCTCCAGTCCTGCCCTGCTCCAGTCCTGCCCTGTTCCAGTATCACGTCATCACATTCCTTTATAAATCTTAGTAATTCTACACTGCATCTTACAACATCCTTTTCCACACAATGCTGTGCAATCGTTTCCGGTTCCCTTGCCGCTGTGTTGCGTCCCTTTCTGCAGCCTCCCTGTTTCGGCAGCAGCGCAAGCCCAGGCAGCAAGGGCGGAGGCGTACCTTCAGCGAATCACCTTGCTGGCTGACTTGCTGGAGGAGCACGTGCTGGTAACTGAGTAACATGATCTGTATGATTCTTGTGATTCGCACGACTCATGAATTGTATGCATCGTAAGATTTTTTTTTTTTTTTTTTTTTTTTTTTTTTTTGCAATGGTTTTTCAGTCGGCATAGAACCCGTCTTGCTGGATGAGCCTGTACTGGCAGCTGACTGACTCAGCTCACTCTTGCAATTCCGTTGTGCTTCGTCACCTGCTTGCCTAATCACCAAATAATATGTCTTCTTGCACCTCATCTCACCAACCACAGCCTGACATGTGGCACATGCCGGACAGCCTGCCTCTTCAGGACGTCTGTCAGCTGGACGCCTTGGTACCTCAAGATCCCAACCTGCCTTCAACCTCCAGAGGAATCAGGCCTGCTCAACCCCAGCAGCAGCTGCAGCAGCTGCAAGGAGAGACCAATGGAGGTGCCTTGTGGGGTTGTGTGCCATCATCTGCGGCCTTTGCGGGTCGGCAGGGCAGGGAGGCGTTGGGCCTTCGATCACGCCGCCGTCTGTTGAGAGATCGGCGTGGGTAGGTGGTGGTCATGATGTCATGCATGCGTATGTGCATGGTTCCGAACTTCTGAAACGTTTCGAAGTGGTGTGGTGTTGAAGTGTGATTCATGCATCAAAGCGTCATTTCGGTTGTTTGTGTTTTAAATAGCCTGACATAGTTTTCCAGTCCATTCTATCGGTTGGTTGCATTCCGAGACGTCTCACAACTTCATCCAGTGCTTTGTGTCTTCGTCTTCCACTCAACTCGTTTATACACTGTTTGGTCTGTCTGTCTGTCTGACAGGCCGTCTTCCAGAAATCGGCAATCAGGTTCTTCTCTTCCTGGATCATCCCTGGACGACGCATCAAGGGCAATCATTACCACCCATAAGTAATGCTTTGCGTTATTCCTTGCAGCCTCGCTTGCTTCTCCTCAGCAGATCTCCTGCAACTTGCTTGGATGTCCTTGCATTCCTATACCCCCCCCCCCCTCCCTCCCCACCTCCCGCCTCCCCCTCTGCTCCCGTTCACCCTTTCTCACCTTTTCCCTCTTGCTCTTCATGTTTGCTTCTCGCCGTCCTCTCATCCTTTGTCCCCTCCAGGAATCTTCAGGAGGAGCTGTCGGATCAGATGCTGACGCTGGCAGGGCAGATGAAGGCCAACTCGCTCGCCATGGAGGAGAAAGTAAAAAGCTCCAATAAGGTGACACGCTGCCGCCATGTCGTTCATGTAGTTGCACGTGCTTGAATTGGACGATTACGATGTACTCGATCCTTGTTTTGTTGCTGCGATTAATGTACCGGTAGTGTTTATATTTCTTGTTGATTGTTTTTTTATTATTATTATTATTCTGTTTGTGCAGGTTCTTGATGCAACTGAGGAGTCGATGGAGAGAAACGTGGCTGGCCTGAGTCGAGCCAATCAGAGGGCTTCACGGTTGGCCCGACAGGGGTTTTGCACCGGCTTATCTACGTGGCTGGCCATGATCTTTCTTCTCGCCATGTTTGTAGGCATGATTATGTTCATCAGAATGACATAGGCCCACATGTATGGTACATACTCGCTGTAATATGTCAGCTGTATAAATATCTCGTTTGAGCAGAATCTGAACTCCATAACGAGTAGTTTTGAGGGGGTTCGACAGCGTACAGATAATCGTTATAGACGGTACTTTTTGGTGGTTTACGGTGGAGAGCGGTGAACACAAAAACAAGCATTCACCGTCGTAAACCACACTGCACGCCTTGCACCCATACTTGCTTGAGGATGAGGCGCAGTCTCAACAGTCGAGGCTCACGCCCTCTCACGCCTGGCGAGCGGGTGGCTTCAGAAGCCGCCGCGTGGTGCTGGTCAGGAAGCATTAGTCTTTATCGCCCAGCTATTATTTATCGAACAGCATCACGCTTGACTGTTGACCATGGCAGGCGGCGTCGCGCATCCGTACTATCCGCGCGACATCGTGTTGCCGGACTACGTCCCGCCAGCGTGGAGCACGGCTGAGCTCTTCGGCGTTTTCGGGGTGGCCGTCGGGCTGATCTTCACGCTCTCATGACTCTTCGTGCGTGAGTCGATTTTTGAGACGTCTCAAAATTTAAGACGTGTTTTTTGAGACGTCTCAAAACTCGATTTTCGGGGTGGCCGTCGGGCTGATCTTCACCCTCTCATGGCTGTTCGCTCGTGAGTCGACGTATCAGGCACGCTTTTTTCGCAAGCAGGTGTTCGCGTGCAGTCCAGCATTGTCTGTCTTGTAGTCAGCAACCACGCAATCCAGATCTCGCCTGATAAGTCAGATTGTTCCAGCTTCCACCATTCCTCATTCTCCGTCAACCCTCTGATCCTCCCGCCTGTCTCCCATTCTCGCCAATCGGTGTTACAGAGGCTCATCATTCCGCCGGCTGACCCGTGTTGGTAGCCTATTCTTCCGCTTTCCCCTCTCATTGTCCGTATAAGTTCATCACCACCCATTTCAGGCTCATAGTCCCCTCTCATTGTCCCCACCCCCGCCCTCTTCTCCCTCCCCCTCCCCTCCCCCCTCCCCCTCTCCCCTTCCCACCACCACTTTCCCCTTTCCTCCAGGCTCATGTCGCCATCTGTCAGCGTCGGAGCGGTTCACGTTCAGCTGGTGGGCCGTGACGGGCGCCATTCACATGCTCATGGAGGGAGCATTTGTCGCCTTCCCCGCCCTCATCAGCAGCACCAGCAAGGCGTTCCTTCTCGATGCCTGTGCGCTCTAGTTGTTTTCCATTAACCTAGTTCCGAAATATCCTAATTTCCCATTCGCCCAAGCAAACGCATGGTTGTCTCGTTGTCCATTCCCGTGCAGTTTCTTATCTCGCCCTTAAACCCTGTTCTTATCATGAGACATTCTTTCACCCACTCCTAAGACAGATATTCACGTCCCCTTCCCCGCCCCCTCCCCCTGCTCTACATGGCCATCTTCGTCAATTCCTTGTAATGCAGGGAAGGAGTATGCTATTTCGGATTCACGATATGCGACCCGTGACACCTGCATAGTATCTCTCGAGGCAGTCACTGCCTTCATCGAAGGCCCTGCTTGCATCCTCATTCTGTGAGTGCTGATTTCAGCTGCTTTCCTTCGTAGGCTTGTTTTGTTTTCCTTTTTTATGTCTGTCTACTTCCATTCTTTCCAACTTCAAGGCTTTTGTATTCATCCGTTTGCATGCAGGTATGCCATGGCGGCCAGGAAGCCCTTCAGCAATCTGCTGCAGTTCACCGTGTCTCTTGGGCAGCTGTACGGAGCAGCTGTGTACTTCGCCACGAGCTACTTGGAAGGCTTTCCCCACTCGGACCCGCATCCAATCTACTTCTGGGGTTACTTTGTCGGCATGAACGCCATTTGGATCCTGGTGCCGTTTCTCATTCTCTGGCGCTGCTGGGCGCGCATCATTTCAGCAGAGGCCTCGATACAAGCTCCTGGTACTAGGCGGTCCAAGAGGGACTAAACTGAACACTGTATCAATCAGCTTGTAGGCACTGCTAAGGCAAATTGGCCAGGGTTGTTGGATTCTAGATGTGCTGCCATGATGCCTGATGGCTGTGATGTATGGTAGGTAGCCACTCCCATTTTTTTTGCTCAACTAAATAGTTTCATAGTTCGCCTTTACTCTAGAAAGTCAATTTCGCTTTCTGACATGACCGTGTCTGGTTAGTTTCTAGCGAGAATAGCCGTGTCGCGTCCTTATGATTGGTTGCATCTGGTCTGTCAGACATTTCCCTTCTTATCCCAGCCACACGTTCCCCGACGCTGGAAATTCGGCAAATTTGCTTCCTGCAGTACATGCCATCCTGAAGTGGCCCAGCTAGTTAGCTGGTTCACTTCTGAAAGATGAGGTCCCGGGATCAAATCCCCCCTGCGGCGTGTTCAGCCAGACCCCCAGAAGGGGTTTTACACAGCAGGGCTGACGTTTCATTTTAAGCTCCCCTGATTCCGGGGAAAATTTCCCCCTTGTATTATGGGTGCATATTTTCCACAGGTAGGCTACTCTGATTGCTCAGTGTTGAAAAGTAGTTAACTCTGATTGCTCAGGGTCGAGAATTGAACATCAATTTAGTAATGCGTGTCAGATTTATATGACATAGCTACTGTAGGCTATAGTGGGGTAGCACATATGGGGTACAGTTTCCTAGGGTTTACTTCTTGTACCCAACTTTCACTTAGTCATTTTCATTCCTCGTTTCTTCTCATGGTATCGAGCAGGTTCCCTAGTGGGAACGATTCCTAGGGCCCACCACCACGAATTTTTTTTTTTTCCTGCCCGTAGCGCGTTTTGCGCCGGCCCGAGTCGCGCCGCCCTTTCGGCCCGTCGCGCCCGTCGCGCCCGTCGCGCCCGTCGCGCCCGTCGCGCCCGTCGCGCCCATAGCCACCTACCTTCTCGGCCCCGCCACCTCACTGTGCGGCCCCGCCACCTACCTCCGCGGCCCCGCCACCTACCTCCGCGGCCCCGCCACCTACCTGTGCGGCCCCGCCACCTACCTGTGTGGCCCCGCCACCTACCTTCGCGGCCCCGCCACCTCACTGTGCGGCCCCGCCACCTACCTCCGCGGCCCCGCCACCTACCTGTGCGGCCCCGCCACCTACCTTCGCGGCCCCGCCACCTCACTGTGCGGCCCCGCCACCTACCTCCGCGGCCCCGCCACCTACCTGTGCGGCCCCGCCACCTACCTTCGCGGCCCCGCCACCTCACTGTGCGGCCCCGCCACCTACCTCCGCGGCCCCGCCACCTACCTGTGCGGCCCCGCCACCTACCTTCGCGGCCCCGCCACCTTACTGTGCGGCCCCGCCACCTACCTCCGCAGCCCCGCCACTTACCTTTGCGGCCCCGCCGCCTCCTCCCAGCGGCCCCGGACGCCGCCCTCTCAGCGGCCCCGCCGAGCCGCCCAGCAGCCAAGCCGCCCAGCCGCCGAGTCGCCCAGCAGCCGAGCCGCCCAGCAGCCGAGCCGCCCAGCAGCCGAGCCGCCGAGCCGCCCAGCCGCCGAGCCGCCCTGTCCGCAGCCGAGCCGCCCAGCAGCCGAGCCGCCCCGCCGCCGAGCCGCCCAGCCGCCGAGCCGCCGAGCTGCCGAGCCGCCCTGCAGCCGAGCCGCCCGAACCGCCCTGTCCGGTAAGAGCAGCGCCTCTCTCACAGCACTGCCCTCGCCCTACTGTTTGCACTGCTAGTCTACTGCTGTCATGGCTACCCCTAGTGTCCTCGCTTTTGACGCTGAGGGTCGGGCCATTGACTTTGACGTCTGGATAGATGACCTGCAGCTTTTCTTACAGTGCGACAGAGCAGACGGCCTCTCCCTCTTTGACCTCACTTCTGGTGCCTCTCCTGCCCCCGCTGCTGATGCTGACGCCACCGTTCGCTCACAGTGGGCCACGCGCGATGCTGCTGCACGTCTTGCTGTGCGTCGCCACCTCCCTACCTCTGAGCGTGCGCACTTTAGCCAGTACAAGAGTGCTCAGACCTTGTACGACGCTGTAGTTGCACGCTACTCCTCCCCTGCCACTGCTGCACTGAGCCGCCTCATGCTACCGTACCTCTTCCCTGACCTTGCTGCCTTTCCCACAGTCGCTGACCTCATTACGCACCTCCGCTCTAGTGACACTCGCTACCGCGCTGCGCTTCCTGCTGAGTTCTGCGCCAAGAACCCCCCCCCCATGTACATCACCCTCTACTACATAGTCACCCGTCTCCCTGACTCCCTTCGCGTAGTCAGGGACCACTTCCTCTCGGTTTGTCCCACCACTCTCACCGTTGACCTCCTCGAGAAGGCCCTCCTAGCAGCAGAAAAGAGCATAGTCGCTGTAGGAGCCTCTCGTGGTGACCCTCGCACCCCCATCTTTGAGGGGTGTTCCCCCTCCCCTCTTTTGCCCTCTGTTGCCTCTGCTGCTGCGGCCGACCTCGCTGGTTTGGAGTCGGTTGGGGCAGCGTCTACCCCTAGCGGGAGACGCCGCCCTGGCAGGGGCAAGGGGGGCAGGGGCGCTGGAGGAGCTAGCGGGGGCGGTGGAGGCGGCGGTGGAGGTGGTGGAGGAGGTGGGGGTGGCGGTGGGAGTGGTGGCGGGGGTGGAGGTGTAGGTGGCGGCAGTGGAGGCGCAGGAGGCAGCGGCGGTGGCGGAGGGAGCGGAGGTGGCGGCGGTGGAGGAGGAGGCGGCGGAGGAGGTGGAGCTGGTCGGGGTGGCGCTGCGCAGAGGGTCAGCTCCGGTGGTGGTCAGCGCCAGCAGCAGCAGCAGCAGCAGCGCACTCGTGACGTCCCCTCCCCTCAGCAGCTCCGTGAGTGGTACACTGCACGCCAGAGGGGTGGGGGTGCTGGTCCGTGCACCTACGTCCTGCGCACCGGCGACCGCGCGGGTGAGCAGTGCGGGGGTGCGCACTCCACCCAGCGCTGCTTTGGCCGCCTCACGGACGCTTGGCGTCACCAGTTCCCTGAGGCCATTGAGATCCCCCGCTGGGGTGAGCTGTCTAGGGCGGGTGTAGCTGTTTTTGACCTTGACTTTAATGCTATTCTTGCTGCCGTGTATACTGTGACTATTAGTGATGAGGGTGACTGTTACCGGTGTTTTCCGGTCGACCCGGGCATTGAGACTGCTGCTCTAGGTACTGGTGAGGCTGCTGCTCTAGGTGCTAGCGAGGCTGCTGCTCTAGGTGCGTCTGCTCCCTCAGGTGCTGGTGAGTCTGCTCTCTCAGGTTCTGCGTCGGCTTCGGCCTCCCACACCTTCACACTTGACTCGGGGGCTTCTCGCTCCTTCTTTCGAGACCGCACCACACTCACGCCGCTTTGCCGGCCAGTTGCGGTCTCCCTGGCAGATCCCTGTCCTTGCTCACTTCTCCACTGTCCTCCCGTGTCCGGCGGCCCCCTCTGGCACCCTGTCTGGTCTCTACCTCCCCTCGTTCTCTACGAACTTGGTGAGTGGTGCTGACCTACAGGATGCGGGGGTTCACCAGTTCACTCCTGCGAGTCAGCGGGTGACCCACTGCACGGACGCTCGGACAGGCCGCCACCTGGCCACGTTTACACGTCGGCCAGGGTCGAGCCTGTACACACTGACCACTGCGTCTCCTCCAGTCCCTGCGTCTGGTCAGGTAGCTGCGTCGGGTCAGGTGTTTGCTGCAGCGTCCAGGTCTGGTCCTGAGTCTGCCCCCTGCTCGTGTCGCCTCCTGTCTCACGAGACTCTCCTCTGGCACCACCGCCTTGGCCACCCCTCCCTGCTTCGTCTCCGGAGCATGGCCTCCCGTGTCCTTGTCTCTGGTCTTCCCCGGTCCCTCCCTCCCCTTCCTCCGGGGCCAGGCCCTACCTGCGTCCCCTGTGTCGAGGGACGGCAGCGGGCTACCCCTCACTCCTCCCAGTTTCCTCCGACAGAGGCCCCGCTGCAGACGCTTCACATGGACGTGTGGGGCCCGGCCCGCGTCCGTGGACAGGGTCACGAGCGCTACTTCCTGCTGGTGGTTGACGACTACTCGCGTTACACCACAGTCTTCCCCTTGCGCAGCAAGGGTGATGTCACTGAGGTGTTGATCGACTGGATCCGCGCAGCTCGTCTCCAGCTCAGGCGGAGCTTTGGCTCGGACTTTCCTGTTCTGCGTCTGCACTCTGACAGAGGCGGAGAGTTCTCCTCTGGCCTTCTGCGAGCCTACTGTCGTGCACGAGGCATCCGCCAGACCTTCACGCTTCCGGACTCTCCACAGCAAAATGGGATTGCTGAGCGCCGCATTGGCATGGTCATGGACGTCGCCCGTACGTCCATGATGCATGCGGCTGCCCCCCATTTTCTGTGGCCGTTTGCGGTTCGGTACGCGGCGCATCAGATCAACCTTCAGCCCAGGGTCTCCATGCCGGAGACCTCCCCAGCTTTGCTGTGGACGGGGAAGGTTGGCGATGCGTCTGCGTTCCGTGTCTGGGGATCTCGGGCGTTTGTCCGCGACTTGTCTGCGGACAAGCTGTCCCCTCGTGCTGCTCCTTGCGTCTTCCTGGGTTTCCCCCCTGACGCGCCAGGGTGGCAGTTCTACCACCCCACCTCTCGCCGTGTTCTGTCCTCCCAAGACGTCACGTTCGACGAGTCGGTCCCCTACTACCGCCTCTTCCCCTACCGCACTCCGTCCCTCCCCCCGCCACCGCTCTTCCTTGTACCAGGTCCCCCCCTGGTAGACCCCCTCCCCCCTCAGGGTCCTGCCCCTTCAGGTGTGTCCCAGGTAGACGCTGTTGAGCCTCTCGAGGTCGCTGGTGACTCTGGTGCTGCTGAGGGTGCTGAGCCTGGGGGTGCTGACTCTGGGGGTGCTGAGCGTGTGGGTGCTACGCCTGGGGGTGCTGAGCCTGGGGGTGCTGAGCCTGGGGGTGCTGAGTCTGGGGGTACTACGACTTGGGGTGCTGAGCCTGGGGGTACTACGCCTGGAGGTGCTGAGCCTGGGGGTGCTGCGTCTGGGGGTGCTGAGCCTGGGGGTACTACGCCTGGAGGTGCTGAGCCTGG